CGCCGGGTCCCGCACCCCGCTGCGGTCCCGGTGTCCCCCGCATGCTGGGTGTCCGCTACGTCCCGTGTCCCCGCTGTCCCACGCCTTCCCGGCGCCCCCCCGTGTCTCCTGCGTCTCTGCAGCCCCAGTGGCCCCGGTATCCCGGTGCCTGCCGGTGTTCCCCCCGTTTGCTGTGTTCCCTCTGCGTCGCCCGTGCACCTCCCGATGTCCCCCACGTATCCCGCTATCGCTATGAGCCCCCCCTCGCCACGCGACCCCAGCGCTCCGGTGCTCCCCGTGATCCTCCCCGGTGTCCCTGCGCTCTCCGGTGTTCCCCCGTCCCCGGTGCCCCCCAAGCCCCCGCTGCAGTCCCAGGGCTCAGCACTGTACTGCCCGGAAGAGACCCCCACGTTGTCGCGGGGTGCCCCGGGGCTGGCAGCAGCAAACTTCCCGGGGTCACAGCTCGTGCAGCCCCCCCCAGTCCCAGTGGGGTTCCGGGGAGCCGGGGTGGGGGTACCCGCGGGGCTGCAGCACCCACCGGGCACGTACACACACACACGCTGCAAACTGCATCCCCAGGCTCCGAGCACAGCCTGCAGCACCCCACTCACACGGGGCACGTGGGGGGCACGGGCACCCCCCCCACACACACCCTCTGCCTGTAATCCCCCGCATGCACACACACACGGAGCACACAAGCAGCCTGCAACACCCCCACACGTACACACACGCGACACAGTCTGCAAATTTGTGTGCACAGCCCCCCGTGCCGCCTGCAAACCCACGGACCTGCACACACAACCCCCCCACACTCACACTAACACAGCCTGTAGCCCCCCCGAGTGTGCAGACTCACGCACACCCGCAGCACAAACACCCAGCACGCAGCCACAGCCCGCAACCCCGCGTGCACACACATCCGCAGAGCCCGCAGACCCCAAAACTCGCACACGCACGCGCTCAAAGCTTGCAAACAGCCTGCAAACCCGCACCTCACGGGCGCGCACGCAGTCTGCAGCCCCACAAACTTATCCACACGCGTGTGTGTACGCACCCCCCGTGCAAACACAGCCTGCAGGCACCCGCAAACACACCTCTTGAGCAAACACAGCCTGCACGCAGAGCTCACGCGGCGCGCACCCGCTCCGTCCTGCTCAGGCAGTGCCCCTGCACGGTGTCACCCACCCGCAGGGATCACACACACAGTCACAGGCTGCTGCCTGCAACCCCTGCAGCCCCCAAGCACTGCCGCAACCCGCCAACAGCCTCTTCCCCATCCCTCTGCAGAGCACTCGTGCTGCCGTAGACACACACGCACACGCAGCACCCCGGGTCCGGCTGTGCCACGCTGGCACCCCCACACAAGGTCTGTCACCCCCTCCCGCAAAGCAGGGGCACACGGTGCATGGTGGGTCCCCATCCCACCAGGCCCCAAGCAGGGGGCTCCTGGTGCCACACCAAGGGCAGTGCTGAGGTGGAACATCCCTCTGGAGTCCCTGCCTTGGTGCCTCCACAGGTCCTCAAGGCCAGAAGGGATGTAGGGAGGGGGCTGAGGGGAGCAGGCACAGTCACTCTCTGCTTGCAGACCCCAGAACCTCCCTCTGCCCATCCTGGAAGGCACTTGGGCTGAGGATGCAGAGGGTGCAAAATCCCTCAGCCTGGGCAGTAGGGAACCTTAGCATGGCATCCCCAACCTGTCCTTCTCTGCCTGCACAGGTGGCCCAGGTCAGCAAGCCCGGACAGCGGTGGATGAGCGCTGGGCACTGGCCTAGCCACACGCACACACCGGCACCATGGACTTCGTCATGAAGCAAGCGCTGGGCGGTGAGTGGGAGCTGTTCCCCCTTAAGGGTCCCCCTGTGGGGAGCAGTGCTGGCCCAGCACCCCAGTAGAGCAGTGGGAGGGACACAGCAAGGGGACAGAGTCACACAGAGAGCCACCAGCAGTGGGGAGCTGCTGCTGGAGCCCTCCAGGTTTCCCATTGCCAGTGCCGTCAGCAGCTGGCTGGGGAATCCTGGCTCTTCTGCCACAAAGTGGGATTCCCCAGCAGGTCCCCTGGGTGCTGAAGAAGGAGCTGCTGGCATCTCCCCCAGCTGACACTGAACTAGGGCAGAACAGCCAGCCCGTGGTACTCCCCATCCCCACAGCCTCCCGAGCCTGTCTGCAGCCCTGGGGATGTCCCAGGTCCTCCTTGCCCTCCCTGCTGCTGCGGGGGCTTTGGCAGCAGCACCACGCTGCAGCACCCTTGGGGGCCAACCAAGGGTCTCGTATGCGCAGGGGCCACCAAGGACATGGGGAAGATGCTGGGGGGCGAGGAGGAGAAGGATCCCGATGCGCAGAAGAAGGAGGAGGAGAGGCAGGAGGCCCTGCGCCAGCAGGAGGAGGAGCGGAAAGCCAAGCACGCCCGCATGGAAGCGGAGCGGGAGAAAGTCCGGCAGCAGATCCGTGACAAGGTGGGCACACACCCCCCCTGTGCCCGCCCCTGCCTGTGGCAGCCGGGATGGGGCTGGGACAGGGAGCCGGCATGGCCGGGAGGAGGGTGGCCCAAGTCGGTGGCGATGGGCACGGGGCACAGCGCAGGCAGTGCCCACTGCCTGCCCTGCTGAGAGCCTGTGTCCTCTCAGTATGGGCTGAAGAAGAAGGAGGAGAAGGAAGCAGAGGAGAAAGCTGCTCTGGAGCAGCCGTGTGAGGGCAGCCTGACGCGCCCCAAGAAGGCGATCCCGGCGGGCTGTGGGGACGAGGAAGAGGAGGAGGAGGAGAGCATCCTGGACACCGTCCTCAAGTACCTGCCCGGCCCACTGCAGGATATGTTCAAGAAGTAACAGCACCGTCAACCCTGCCATAGGGTGCTGGGGCACGGGCGCCCTCTCTCCTACAACTCCTCCATCAGTTCCCTTGGCCCCGGAGAGGGGGTCCCCACACCCCCTCCCATCCCCTCCTGCCCTGTCCCCCAACCAGACCAAAAGCCCGCCCCGTCCCGTCCAGGCAGGGCCCCCCCACCACGCCAAAGGGGAGCAGCCCTGGCCGGACAGGGCGAACCGGGACCAAATGCACTGATGTAACCTCGCGGCAGGCTAGGGGCACCCAGGCCCTACCGGCCCCCCGGGGTGGCTCCTCGTGCCCCCTGCCCTGCCCCTTCTGTTCTCCCAGGGGACCCCAGTAGGCCTCTGCTCGCCTGCCCCCGTCCCCAACACTGCCATCCCCCTGCCCCCTCCCGCCCTGGGCCAAGCCCAAAGCACAAAGCCAGGCGCCCTGCCCGCAGCTCCCCCATCCCCGGTCGTCGGGCGCGGGGGTCCCCCGGGGCTGCCCGGTGTGCTCGTGCATCGGGGGGTTGGAGGGGACCCCCCTCCCCGCATCTCTGGCCCCATAGTTAAAGCCATATCAGTTAGACTGCAATACTTCAGCACCGGGAGGAGCGGGCGCCGCGCTCCGCCAACCGTGTACAAAGGCACGCGCGGGGCAGGGGTCCCCCTGCCTCGTCCCCCCGTCCCCGCCGCTCGCTCGTCTGTGTCTTGGCCCCGCTGGCCCCCGTTTCTCGCATTAGTGTCTCTGTGCCAGGGTGCGCCCCGTCGCTCCATGCGTCCTCGTGTCCGCTGCTGACTCCCCCCCCCGAGTCCCCACTGTCCCCGGGGGCCACCCGCGGCGCCCCTCGCCGTGCTGCTGGGACCCCCACTCTGTCCCCTGCAATAAAGCCAGCGTGGGGCCGAGGGCTGCCGGGCCAGTCCCGGGCTGGGAGAACCCGGCTGCCCTCACCTGATGCTGGACACATGGGTCCCCGGGCCTGGGAAGGGATCCCCGGGATGTCCCAGGAGCCGCTGCTTGCACCCCAACGTGGGGAGGCAGGGGCACACCCTCATCCCGGCCCGTCTCTTGCCACACCGTGCTCCCCCTCCCTGTGCTTCCTCAGCCACGGCCCCCAGCCGCTCACCAGGGCCCTCCCGGGAGGTGGCGGGCAGCTCGGGGTCCCACAGACATGCTGTGACCATCCTGCTCGAACTAGTCTTTGACGAACTAATAAAATAAAGGGATTTGTACATTGCTCTGGCCTCTTCTCATCCGTTGCTTTCCTGGGCCCCCGTGTCAGCTCCCTCACCCCACCAAGCTGAGGGTTGAAATCTGGCAGCTCATCACACGTGGGCTGGCCCCCAGCCAGGTCTCTACAGGTGCAGGAAGCAGCCACATGTGGCTCCCAGAGTCCTGCTCCTTCCTCCTGCCTTCCTACTCCACAGGCATCTGTCCTTTCTGGGGCTGGGGACAAGACAAAAGGGATGTCCCACAGACATGGTGGCGTGAGGGTTTCTCCCCCTTCCCCTTGACTCCTATACTTCCCTCACTGAATGACTGAGGATAGCCAGGAGTCCAAGGGCTGTTCCTGATGGGTCACAGCATTCCACCACTCCAAGAGAGGAGCATGAGGCTGTGGGCATGGTGCACCTCATGCTCCCACACCGAGGCAGAGGCTCTGGCAGTGCCCAGGCCTGGCACAGCTCAAGAGGCTCCAGCTCCAGCTGATGTGCCATCATTTACCAGCAAAGAGCTCAGCTGTTACCCAGGCGGCATCAGCAGAGCAGTCACCCAGAAAAGCTTCTGTCAGAAGGAAATATGAGGCTAGAGAACGGCAGAGATCTCGCAGGCAAGGTCTCCATTGCAGGCAGGCTGTGCCCTGGTACCCAGCACAGCGGTGCAGGCAGGGAGAAATCCGCACAGCCCTCCCTGGGCAGTGGGGACAGGGCAGGGGAAGGGCTCTGCCCGGGGCTGGCGGCTGTGGCATGGAACGTGCAGCGTCCTCCATGTCCCGATCTGAGCGGTGTCCCCGCTGTCACCTGTCCCCACCGTGGGCACGCAGCGCCCCCTGGTGTGGCGACAGCGCAGGGCAGGGGACACAGAGAGCGGGGACAGGAGCGACAGTCCCAGACAGACCCCTTGCCAGGGCCGTGCTATGGCCAAGGGAAGGAGGCAGGGGGAGGGAGAGCAGCTCAGCAGCCCGCTTTTACCCCCTCAAATAGCCACAGGCACCTTCGTTAAGGAAGAGGATTTATCAAAATTAGAAAAAGACACCACAAATATTTTAAAAAAGCCACAGCTGGGAAAACATCTACCAGTTCAAACCCCCCTCCCTCCCCTCATTGCCCCAGCTAGGGAAGGGACATGGGATGTCAGGGAGGGGGAGAGGCAGGTTGTGCTCCCAGAGCTGCCCTTGCCACCAGGCTTGTGGGGACAAGGGGACAGTCACGTATCTCATCACTGCTGGGGAGCCTGGTCAAAGCAGAGCACCTCCCATGGGAGGCTCCTCAGCAGCCACCTTCAGTGACTGATTTTCTTTGGCCACTTGCCTTTGGAACAAGCCCCCCCATGCCCCAGAGAGGAGGTGGCAGAGGGGGGCCCTGACGAAATCCCCCCACTCTCCCCAGCACACAGCTGCCTGTTTATAAAGCTCCCAAGAACAGGACACACCGAGCTGAGCCCGAGGCCACAGCCCTGCCAGGCTGGCAAGGAGATGAGCCAGCTCCTTGCCCCACCTATGCTAAGCTCCCACCCTCGAGGACAGGCAGGTGTTGCCTCCCTGGGTGCAGCGGCTTCATCAGGAGTCGTTGGGGAGCCCAAAAAGCTTGACAGTGCCAGCCTCCCGGCTGCTGTCGTATTTGCCATCTTTGTCGTCACAGGCGAAGGCCAGCAGCGGCCTCTTCGGGTGCCAGGCCACTGTGAAGGTGGGGGACTCACACTGCACCTCCCAGAGCTTCTCTCCTGCATGGAAAAGGAGCCACGTCAGCCTGGAGTGCCTCCAGCCCCCTCTGCTGCTCACCTCCCCGAGCCAAGCACCTGCTGCTTCCCTCAGCGAAGGGGAGAGGCAGCACAAACGCTGCTCCAGCGCCTTTCAGTCACCCAGTGACAAGGTACAGACATGACAGGCATGTGTGCCACAGACTTCTGAGGCAGAGGCTCCCCCTCCTGGCATTCTGCTCTGCACAGGAAAGCTCTTCCTTAGCAGACAGATTCTCCCTGTGTCCCCCCCAGCTCTACCAGCACTTCTCCATCCAATTCCCCCCTTGTTGTTCCCCAAAATAAAACCATTACCTGTTTCCACCTCAGCAATGTCAATGAAGTGATCTTCTGATGCTGAGGCCAGCATCTTCCCATCATGGCTAAAGCTCAACGTCCGCACAGGCCAGTCCAGCCTGCAGCAACCGAGGGGAGCAGACAGTGAGGCACTGCCACCACAGTCCCCAGAGAGGGGGAAAACAATTTTGGGACAGCTCTACCTACCTGGAGAAGCACCTCACACACACCAGCTCATCCACATCCCAGAGGCTGACCAATGCATCAGCACTGCCTGTGGCAAAATACTTCCCCATGGGATCGAACTTGATGCAGATGCAGTTGGAAGGATGGGCGTTGATGGACTGGATGGGTTTCAGCTCTGGGTAGCTGTGGAGGTGAAGGGAGAGGGCAGGGAGCAGTGAGAGAAGCACAGGGATTCCCTAGAGCAGGGCAGGCATGAGGCACACCAGGATGGGAAGCAAACCCTGCCAAGGCAGGACTCACTGAGTGTCCAGTGAAGGAGGAAAAGCATCAGGGACCATTCCAGGGAGCTGAGCCCATCCCACAGCTGTGGCAACCTCAGCTCCAGGCAAGCTCTTTCCCACCAGAGGGCAGGGGATTGCTGGGATGTGGGGCTCAGGTTTCCCAGAAGCAGCAAAGGAACTTGCAAATGACTGCAGCCAGCCCAGCCACCGGGTCCAGCAGCAGCCACGGGCACCTGCCTGAGGATGTTGATGCAGCCATTCCCATTGGTGAGGAAGAACATGTTGTTATCGTTGTTCCAGGAGATCTCGTTCACCTCAAACTTGAACTGTTCCTCAGCTTTGGAGCGATGTGTCTTGGCATCAATGAAGGTGACCACATCATCCTTGTTCCCCACGGCAATGGTCTGTCCATCAGGGCTCCAGCAGATGTTGATGTTCTCACCTGAAAGGACAGAGAGTCCCACTTCCACTCCAACCACCCCCAAATGGGAAAGACTGCCAGTTCTTCAGTCTAACACAAACCCTGCACGGCAGCTATCCAGCAAAACCAAACTTGTGAGAAGTACAGCTTGAAGACAATATGCCACACCCCATTTCAGCCAAGATGGGACCACAGCAACCACCAAACAAGGTCACGCCAAAGATCCTCTGAATCCAGTCATCTCTGAGATCCAGAAAAAGTAGAAGCCAAAAATAAATACCTTTGAATAAAGGTAAGAACGTGGCAGGTTGCTGTTACACAACTTCACAGTGCCATTCCCAGCCCCAACAACTCAAAAGTGGACATTTTCAAGACCATAGATGGTATTTGGGTTAAGCATCACATGAATTCAAATAGTTTTTCTGAATCCACACAAACTTTTATTTCCACCACAGCTCTCTGTAAACATGCCAGTCTCCAGCCTCACAGCCCACTGACTCCAGAGGCAAGTACAAAGGACATTTTAACAGCCAGCACCGTATTTCAGCAGTTCTACAAGCCCCGACCCCACAGTAAATCAGCTCTCACGTGATGAGTGCAACACAAATATAATGCAGTTAGCAAAGATGTCCAGCCAGAAATAACCACAGGAAAGGTGCAAAGCTCTGTGCCACTGCAGATGGGTCCCACACAGCTGGGGTCCTGCCGGGAAGACGCCCCAGGAAGGCAGGGACTCACCTTTGGTGTTGACAGTGGCGATGCACTTGGTGGTGCGGACATCCCAGATGCGGATGGTTTTGTCCCCTGACGCTGTGACAAACAGGTCAGGGTTGCTGGGGTGCCAGCAGAGCTGATCCACGCTGTCCCCATGGCCCCGGTAGTTGTTCTCCTTCACCTGCAGGGACAGGGCAGACCAGGTGAGGCTGTGCCCAGCTCTGCTCCAGCTCCTGCCCACATCCCGGCACGCTGCATCCCCGCTGGGATGAGCAGGGGCCCCCGGGCACCCCAGTTCCACCACGGTCACATCTCCCTCTCACAGCCGGCCTGGATGGAGAACCCCGCCAGGCACCAGCTCCATTCCCGGCTGGCAGACCCGGCCTGCGCTGCCCTCGGCGATTCCGGTGCACACCGAGCACCCCGGCCCAGGCCCGGCACCGAGCACCGGGACACTCCCGCTCCCAGACCCCAGCCCAGCCAGCCGCGCCCGGCGTGCCCACGGGCTCCCGCTACCGATCCGCACCGCCCCCGCCCGCCCGATGCCGGCGGATCTCACCAGCCGGTCCTTCTCGAGCAGGAAGACGCTGGCGGTCTTGTCGAAGGAACCGGAGGCGAGGCGGCGGCCGCAGCAGCTCCAGGCCACCGAGTGCACCTTGGCGCCGTGCGCCGGGAACTCGCGGCTCCGCGTGTTGGCGCGGAACAGCTCCTGCATGGCCTGCACGTAGGGCGACAGCGCCATGGCGGGGCCGCCGCCACCGGCACCGCCGCCCCGCCCCGGCACCGCGCCTGACGCCACTTCCGCCGCCCCCCCGCGCCCGGCGCGGCCCCACCGGCGGAGCGGAGCCGGCGCTCGCCGCCGGGATGGACAACAACGTGGTCCTCGTCAGCGATTCGGACTCGGAGGGCGCCCGCACGCCGCCGCTCCAGCCCTGCCGCTCCCGCCACTCGCTGCCCGCCCCCGCCGTGAGTCCGTGGCTCCCGCGGGCACGGCGCCGCTGCCGCACACAAGATGGCGGCGCTGCCATGGCGGGCGGGGACGGGAGGCGCGCACGGACTGGCAGCCTCGGGGCAGGGGAGGGGGTGGGCGTGTGTGCCCCGCTCCCGTCCCGTCCCAGCCGGGTCCTCAGGGACCTCCCACCCTCTTCCTAGCCGGGCTCGGGTCGCGGCGGGCACCTCCCGCCAGAGGAGCCCTGTTCCACAAGCGCGCTCCCCGCAGGGGTCCCAGCCTCCTTGGCCATATACCCTTAGAAAGAGCCCAGTGCCTGCCATAGCGTGTCGCGGTGCTCTCGCTGCACCCCGAGAAGCGTCCGACCCTGCTGGGCTCAGCCCCCGGCGGGATGCGGTGGGGCGGTTGCCGCCCCTGCTCCCCGTGCCGTTCCCCGGCCCTGTCCCGCTCCGCCGGCGGGTGCGGGGCCGGTGCGGCCGCGGTTCCGGGCGCGAGGCTCAGGCTCGGACGGGGAAACGGTCGGTGCCCGGCCCCGCACCGCTGTCCCGGGTCCTGAGCCGCTTGGAACCCTGCACCTCCCTCCCTCCGCAGCTCCTGGGTGCCGGAGCCCACTGGGCTTTGCCCTCTCCTTGGGGAAGGCAGCAGGTTTGAGTCGGGGGAGGAAAGTGGATTTAAATTCTCTGCTAAACGGGTTCCCTGCTTTGAGGTGCTGAGGGGGATTTTTTTCTCAAGAGCAAACAGGCTCCGACCCCTCCTGAGCCTGCCAAAAGTTTGGGAAGTAGAGTGTGTGACCTGCTGCTGGTGCAGGCACAGCTGCCTCCCCTGCCTGCTCCTGCTGCCCCTCGGACCCTGCATTGCCCTGCAAGGTCTGGATGGGAGTCCCCAAAGTCTCAGAGCTGCTGTAGCTTCAATTGGTGCCACAGATGAAAAGGCAGCTTTGTTTCCTGCCATGCCTGTCCTCCAGAGCAGGTGATGTGCCACAGAAAAGTTTGCAGGGTTTGGATCCTGTGCTTGTTCCTGCCAGTGCCTGGGTACAGGAGAGCTCTCTGTGTTTCCACTGCCCTCCCTGGACATGCCAGCAGGACTGGCATTTCCCTGTTGTAGGAGGGAGCTGAGCAGGCAGCTAGGTCTGTTCTGAGCCAAGGCACGAGGACATGAGCCCTGAGGGGAGTGTGGAAGAAGAGCCTGGGTTGGGCTCAGGCTCAGCTGTGCTGCCAGGGGAGGCTGATCCCAGAGCTCAGGGCCACAGGACCCTTTGGACAGGCAGAAGGGTCTTTGCCCCTCTTTTTCTAGGCTGGTGCCCTTTTCCCTCTTGGACTGGGACTACAGTGCCATCATAGCAGAGGCTCCTGGCAGGACTGGACACTGACACTGCTGCTCTGTCCCCACAGGAGATCATTGACCTGACCTGTGAGGATGCAAACACAGACCCGACACCGTCGAGCAGCCTTGCCTTCATCGACCTGACTGAGGACATGTGCAGCCTTTTCCACTCCACCCTTGGTGCTGCTCAGAACTCCAGAAACGCTGCCCCAGCAGCACACACGTCCCACCCCCAACTCTGCCCCGCTGCAGAAAAAGAAATGCATGCAGTGCCAGAGCAGAGCCCTGCACAGGCATCACACAACACTTCTGTGAAGCTCAGTTCCACCATGGTCACAGCAGAAGCCATGGAGAACTGCAGCTGCCTTTCTCCTGTCTCTAGGTGCCACAGCTGGAGCCCAGAGCAGGATTACAGCACTACTGCCTTGAACAGCAGCTTGGACTCGCAGTCAGACTCAGACTGCCTGTCCCCATCTCCCCCCAGCCTGGACAGCAACAGCAGCATGAGAGCTGATGGCCCAGAGGAAGATCCTCCCCAGCCCTACCAGGAAAGGAACCTCCCCCCAAGGTTGAGCCCTGCCCCAACCATTCCTATAACACCAGGAAAGACCCAAAGGCCTTTGCCAGAAGCAAGTGACTTCCCACCACACCAGCCAATCCAGCAAGCCACCCCAGCCAGGACTGACACTGACAGCAAGGCCTTGCTGGACAAACTGCACAACTTCAGCAGGAGTGGAGTCCAACACCTCTTCCTCCAAGGCATAGCACCCAACAGGGAATCACAAAAGGTAAACAGGGTTTGGAGCAGCCCCTGTGGTAGAGGATGGAGCAAGGGCAGCCTCTGCTCCCCTTTGCCAGGCAGCTGGGGGCTCTGGTTATTGCAGTTCCCTTCCCAGTGGGTCCCACATCACAGCTGGGATCCTCTTGTGTCAGGGGAGCTTTCACCCATTGTCTTGCCTTGTACACAGCAGAAACCTGGGCTCATCCCCAGCGGGAAGCTGAGCATGGTGCACACCACCATGGAGGAGAACAGCCTGGAGGGCACCTTGTATTTCCTGAACGAGTTTGTCTCCTGCCAGCACCGTCCCCCCAAAGAAATAGTCTGCCACCTGATCAAACAGATGCTGTTGGACACCCATGAAGGGGAGATCCTGAATGACATCTACACGCTGCTGATGAAGATCCAAATGTAGGTGTTCCCCTTGTCCCAGGTGTTCCCAGGGGTCTGCTCAGCATAAGGATTATTCTGTGCTCACCCACAGAACAGGGAGTGGTTTCCCCAATAACCCAGGATAATCCTCCTGCCAACACAGGCACACCCTAAGCTCTCTGAGGGTGGGTCAGGGACAGTTTGTGACACAAGTGAGCCCTTGGGGACAGAAGAGTGTGTTTGCCTTGCCCTGAAGCACAGGTCTCATTCTTCACTGCTGTGGCATGGCAGAAGTGCCTTCCCTGGGCTGCAGCAGTGGCTGGAGCAGCTCCCTCAGTTTCCTCAGGCTTCCCACAGAGAGGTGCAATGTTTTATGAGGCCACAGGTATAGGAATCCTGGGCATCTCCATGGAGTATAGCCCCTGTCAGGAGTTTCCAAAAACTTAATGTGTTATGGGGAGGAGAAGGGGTGAGGGCAAAGATGGAGAGGAGAAGGCAGGGAACACACCTGAGCAAGTGGGGTTGGGAGTGGCTGTGGAAGGGCTAAGAGGCTGCCCTGCCTCCAAGCAGCTGATCAGGTAGTTCAGCACAAATGGACATGGCTGTCCTTGCAGGCTCCATCCAGCCAACATCGCCACGGTGGGATGGGACTGGACTCTGGTGAAATTCATCATGGAGCAGCAGGTACTTGGCACCTTGTGTGTCACATGGGGCAGGGATCATCCAGCACACGCTGCCTGAGGGTGAGTGTTCCTAAGTGCTTCCTGTGGCTGTGCTCTGTTCCAGAGCTAGCCAGTCCAACAGTGAGTGCCAGCTGGGAATCCCACATTTATCCACAGTGCTCCCTTAACCCTCTGCCATTTTAGGCAAGTTGTCCCACTGAAGAAGGCACAGATAAACCCTCTCTGGGTCACAGCACTAGTACAATGCCCAGCAATGCCCCTCAGGGTCTTGCCTGAGCCAGGCAGCTCCTCCCACAACCACTCCCAAGACAGCCAGCTTCCCTGGTGTTCCTAAGCCTGTGGCCCCACCAGACTCACATGCTTTCCATCTGCCCGCAGGAGAAGCCCCCTGGTTGGCTCCTCTTCCTGCAGTACGTGGTACAGACCCTGGAGGATGACTTCCAGCACAATCTGAAGTCATACCAGCTGCAGAAGTCAATTGCCAAGAAAGTCCTTTCATGTGACTTGTGCTTCAACAATGTCAAGTAAGGGACACCTCCTCCTTGCTCTCTAACCAGAAGCTGAGAGGCAGGGGCTTAGGGAACACTTGTCAAGACTCCAGTCAGACTTTCAGACTTTCTAAGAAGCAGACTTGGGAGACAAAGGGAAGCACAGGGCCAGCTATAGGGACTAGGAAAAGATTTACAAAAGCAAACCACCACAGATGATACAAGGCCTTTCCAGTCACAACAGAGTGGGCTTTTCCCAGGGATGAGGTCAGATTTGCATTGCTCAGGACAGGACTGAGAAGGAAGCAGTCCTGTAGGCAAGTATACAAATCAAGAGAGCTCCTTTGTTGAGCTGTTCAACAGAGCTACTCTCTAACCTGTCCAAGTGGGTGGAACATAGTCTTCATTGTCAAGGCCTTTCCTCCAGCTCTAAGTGGATCTAGAGGTCAGAACACAGCAAAACAAGGCACCTCCCCAATAAAATTCTTGTTTCTGTTCCAGGGAAGTGGTCAATTGGTTGGTGGCAGCAGTTACAGGAGTTGGGTTGTCCCAGCCCCAGGAAGAGCTGCAAGAAGCCAGGGCTGAACACAGCTCATCTTCACCAAGGCTGGCCAGCACTCAGACAGCTCAGAGAGACCAGGCCCAGACAGCTTTCTTTGCCCAAAAGTAAGCTCCAGAATTCCAAACTCCCTGCTGGCATTATCACAGACCCAAGTCAGGCAGAAGCCAGAGTCACTCTCTTGCTGTCAGTTCAGGGAAGCCAGGCTGTACCAGCTTTGCTGGTTCTTCTTTTGGTTAAAGACTTGGTGAGCAAAGGACTCTCACCTGGAAGGAAACTGGCTCAGTGTCATCCTCTTGATGTAGCACAAGGCTGGAGCTTGTGGCCCACAGCTCAGGCAGCCCCATGCTGCTCCAACACTCAGGAGCCACCAAGACCTCCTGAGGGTCAATCTGGGGATGAGCTTTGCTTGCAAAAGCATCAGATTCAGAAATCACCAGGAGACACCAAAGCTGGCCCACTGCATTCCCATGCCCCTCACCGCACGAGGCTGAAGCAGGGGCCATCCCCAAGGCTTTGCTTGGCAAGCTGAGGAGCAGAGTCCCCCTGTGCTGACTGTCCCCTCTCACCCAGGACGATGCTCCTGCTCCAGCAGATGTTGGCCATGGCAGTGGAAGTGGACAGATCTCCCACCTGCAGCTCTCGTAAGATTGCAGACGACATTTTCCCGTTCATACTGAATATCCCCCTGAGGAGCCAAAGGTGAGACAAGCATGTGCAAGGCAGCATTTGCCTGTGTGAACAATGGTCTTATTCCCAATTTACATCCAAGTCTGGATGCATAAAGTTCTACAGGGTACAGAAAGACAGGCCAGCCAGCAAGAGCATTGCTGTGTCTCCCACGGAGATGCAACATCACCAGCTGAGCAGCTGATGTGTTGATGGAAACACACCCAGGTGGTGTGTTGCTGAGAACAGTCAATTCTCCCACTTGTTAAAGTTGTGACCTTAAAACTGTAAAGAAGGTCTGAAAAGCAGCACTGTGCAGCACAGCCAAGCACTGGCAAAGACATCACTGATTCCCATGGGCAACCAGGTAGTCAGAAATATGATGCAGTTCTTACAGCTTTGCCTTGACATCCTTTGTTTGCTTCTTTAAGAAGTGCAAATGTGAAGCCAAAGCACAAGGGAGTGAAGAGACCACTAAGCCCCCAAGCATTTCAAACCCATGTTTCAATGCCCAGCAAGCAGCCCTTCACATCCTTTCAGCAGAACTCTGTGCACACACCAGGTATAAACCAAAGCAAACCGACTCTAACCAAGCTGTCACTTTGCCCAGGACAGATATAGATCCTTCTACCCTGACCCCACATCACCCTTGCTTGGCTGGGCTCCCTGCAAGTCAGCAGGAATGAGCCACTGCCACACAGGCTGCTGGGCAGGCTGAAGTGAAGCAGCTCAGTTTGCTTTAGAGACTGTACTCACTTCCAGCTGCTGCAGGTCACACCTGAGGATGAAAACATGGCCATGGCCAAGCTGCATAACAAAGGTCTCTCACCACATCTGGTAGTCTTCCTTCCAGGGCACGGCTGGGTAGCCCCTGCAGTCACCCCACATCTGCACTAGGACAGCAGGAGCATGCTGGAACAGTTGTCTCTGGTCAGGCTGTGCTGTCTCAACCAAAGTAAATTCCTTTTGTGTTCCAGGGAAGCTTTATTAAACACCATGGAGAGCCAGCTGCTGCGCTGCAGACTGCTAGAGCTGTTATTCCAGCACAGTTGTGACGTGCCCACATCCTCGTCCATGTCTCTGGACAAGGTTCTGTATTTCCTGAGCCACTCCTCTGTGCTGCCACAATTCCAGGTATCCAGTCCAACCTTTCCTTTGACTTGTTCTCCTCTGAGAAAACTTCTAACAACCAAATACTGTCTCCTGTCCTAGGATGAAACAGCAACATGGCAAAGATGGGATGAGATGCTGCAGTACTTGAGTTTGCTGCTGCTGAGTTATCATGGTGTAAAAGTGGGTAAGCAGTGCTTGTTCTGGCCCTAACAGTCTCATCAAGAGGCTGCAGTAGAACGGCCAAATTCCTCTTCCTCCTCTCATCACTACTGGACTCATGGCCACTGAATCTTAGAAAGACAGTGTGCTTCCATCCATGACAGTAACTATTCCCAGCAGTCAAAGAAGTGATGTTGCATTAACCAGAGCACCCACCTTGCTTTGCCAAGTTTAGCCCCTGCAAAATAGCCTTCTCCCTAAAAGAAGGAAGCACTTCCCAGCATTGCACAGTACACAAGAGGGTGCTTTGTACCCCTGTTGTCTGAGCTGCTGTACAGTGGGTGGAAGAATAGGGTGCTTTAGGAAGAAAAGCAGAAGACAAAGGGATCATAGAAGATCCCAGGCTGGAAGAGAGACACAAGACTCATTGAACTCCACTTCTGGGCCTGCATAGACAGCTCAGAATCCCACCCTGTGCCTGAGAGAGTTGTCCACACATTCCTGGAGCTCTGGCAGCCTTGGAGCCATGACTGTTCCCTGGGGAGCCTGTTCAGTGCCCAACCACCCTGTGGGGAAGACTTTTTTTCCTAATAGCCAACCTAAATCTCGCTTGGCACATCTCCAGTCATTCCCTTGGGTCCTGTCACTGCCCTACAGAGCAGAGATGGGAGCTGCCCCTCCCTCCTGAGGAAGCTGTAGACCCCAGTGAGGTCTGATCTGTCTCCTCAAGGCTGAACACAGCAAGTGACCTAAGCCACTCCTCATGTGGCTTGCCCTCTAGACCCCTCACCATCTCTGAAGCCCTCCTTTGGGCAAACCAGGACCCTTGCAGCACTTAGTAAACTGTGTAGAGAGCACCATCCACAGCAGCCATGGAAACAGCAGCAATTCTGACCCCAGGAGAGTGGCACAGTCACAAAATACTCTGTAAAACTGTGTATTTGCCAGAAGTCTCTTCCAACTTCAGGTGCTTTAGCCCAGGGTTAAGGCTGTCATGAATGAATGCAGAGGAATCCATCATCATATATGCAAAGTCTCACTCTCCCTGAAGTCCTAGATAATAATCACTGTTGTTGGGCTCTTTGGAGACTCCTTTGCAGTTGCCCACTTGCCATTCACACAGAAGACAAGGATTATACAAGCCTTGCCCCTTCCCCATTCCCTGGGCTCTCTCTGCATGCCAAATGAGCTCCAGGAGGGGCCAGTTCCTTCTTCCCAAAGTCTTGTGCAGAACCATCGAGGATAACAAGAGGATCAGTCCCATTTCCAGCACTGCCTGTGGCACACTGGGTCCATCCCAGCAGCTCAGGCAGCTCTTTGGGTGTTGCCTCTCCCCACCAGCATTTCCTCTTGCAGAGCACCTGCGAACCTCTGTCAGTGACCGGATGAAACTGATTGCTCAGAAAGCCAAGCCCAGGCTCCAGGACAGTGATGACATCAGCCAGCTGGACATTCAGCTGAAGATGAATGACTTCATCAGCAGAATGCAGAAGACCCTGGGGGAGCCTTTTCCCCCACAAATCCAGGAGAAATTGTTCATGCTGCAGGAGTTGTTCTTCATTGTCACTGCTGCCTGATGGAGACAACCACTGCAGCAAGGGGGCCAAAACTTTGTGTTCTTACTATAACCCCCCCCCCCCAATCTCATACTGCAATCTCAGCATCATGGGGTTGGTTTATACAGTCCTGTTGAAAGATGTTTGGTTTACATTGTTTCAGAATTTCAAGTTTGCCTTGTGCAGTTTTGCAAAGCACTTTGTACACTTGAAAAAATGAGTTTTTTTCATGTTTGCTAAGACACTTTTGTCTTGATACCAGCACTGCCCAAAGGAAGTCTTTTCCCCCACAAATCCAGGACAAATTGTTCATGCTGCACGAGTTGTTCTTCACTGTCCCTGCTGCTTGATGGAGACAAGCACTAACAGCAAGGGGGACAAAACTTCATGTTCTCAATATAAACCTTCCCATCTCACACTGCAATCTTAGCATCATGGGCCTTGGTTTATACAGTTCTTTTGAAAGATGTTTGGTTTACATTGTTTCAGAATTTCCGTTCAAGTTTACCTCATGCAAATTTAAAAGCACTTTGTACACTTTAAAAAATAAATTTTTTTCATGTTTGCTGAGTCTTTAGTCCTTGTGCCAGTGCTGCCCAAAGTCCAGAGCTCTGTCAGATCACACCACAAGGCCATGCTTTAACCCCAGCCTTCCCAATCTATGAGATTCTCCTGTACCTCAGTACCTGAATGTGTTCCATGACTTTGAGCTCATTTCACACTCCAGGAGCACAGGGAACACCAGCATTCAGAGCTCAGACTTCCCCAGCCCAGGCGAATCATCCTCCATCAGCAGCACTTTAAAAGGGCAGCTAAAAACACTACGACAGCACCAAGCCACAACTTTCCAGAGGGGAACTGGGCATCTCTAGGGAAACACCAGCCTAGTTCCCACATCTGTGCCCACCACCACAGTACAGGTGGAACCAGCACACAAGCAACAAGAGACAAAATCTCAGGAACATGAATTTGGATTGCTCAAGAAAACACAGAGATGTCATGTTTAATTTCATCTGCACAAGCCCTAAGACAGAAATGAGCCTGCCGGTAAACCCTGTGAAACAGGAGTTTGTGGGCAAATATTTCACCCTAGTGAGGTGCTGCCAGAGCCACCAGAACCTTGACCCCACACTCACTGGACAGCCCCAAATTTTTCCTACAGATGCTCTGCCAGCACCAACACACACTGTGGACCTCCATTCCACAAGGATTTTATTGTCCTGTAACAAACAAAACAAGCATACACATTAGGAAACATGAATACAGTCAACAAATAAATTAAAGTCAAATGAGAGCCTGATTGCCAAGGTGCAAATGAGTGATGACAGAACTGCTGGTTTGGATGAGGGACTTTCACACGACACATCACTGGCAGTGCTACAAAATGTGCTGCTTCAGAGGGGCCAGCAGCCAGCCAAGGGAGCCAACCCTGTCTCACCCTCCAGGGAGAGTATTTGGTTTAAGTGAGAAACCCTGGAGCTCAACAGTTACCACCTGTTAAGTAACTTCTGTACAATGTCCTGGCAACAGAGAAGCTTCCACTTCCAGATGCAAGGCTGCTGCTGGCTGAGGGACTTTGCAACACCACCGTGAGATCAAGAGCAGACCTGAGGAGACCCATTTGCCACAGCACAGGTGAGGATTCCAGAGCAATGCTGCCTATCATGCTTAAGGGATTAGATGGTAGGCAGGAGTTCCTTCCACTTTTCCTGAAAGCTGGTGTTAGCTATTTCCAGGAACTGGTTCAGACTAGGTCAAGGATCACATCCAGCTGTACCTCAGCAGGGAGGAATGTTCAGCCTTGGTCTGCCCTCAGTCCTCCCTCAGCCCGGCAGAACACACTTAATGCTGATAAAACAAAACACCCTGTCTGAGAAGTGTTTCTGGTGTCTAATACATTCCACACAATTCTAGTGAAAAAACCAAACCAACAAAAACAAATGAAGCAGCATCCAGAGTGCCAGAACACGTGCAAATCTGCTGTCTAGAACACAGAACAGTGCTGTTTTGCAGAACGAAGAGAGGAGGATTACTTGGTTCAAACCACACCAGCTTTGATTACTTTCACCTTCTTAGAGGAATATGAAGACTTGGAAGAAAAATAATTCTTCCTCATTACTTCAAAGTTCCATTAGATTCTGCTCCCTGCCTTTCCAATGAGAACATCTTAGAATGGTCCCTTTTCCTTTTAAAAAACATCCCAAGAAAAAAAGACATGGTCACACTGGATAGTGAGGGAGTGCCACATTTATACTGACCTAACACATACCCCATCTTCCTTCTGGCAGTTAATGGTCCAGTTTTCAGTCCTTGCTTGTTCACAGCATTTTCTGCTTGATCTCTTGACAGAACCAGTCTCCTGTGGGTCCTTCAGCACTGAGCAGGACAAGACAATCAGATTCCAGGCATACAAGCCAGGTGCTCACACACCACATGGAATCCTGTCCAAAAAAAACATGGCTCAGGGTTTCACTGTGGTGGGATGTACTGGGAAGCACATCCAGAGCAGCCTGGCAGCCCAAACCAGTGCAGTAGACAGGATGGTTTACATTGGTATAGGACTGGTGTAGGAGTTTTTCCAAGACTGGCTTTAGCAGGACAATCAAGACTGGTTTTTTTTTGTGAGATGAAGAGCTGGAAAGGGAGACTTTCCTACTTTACCGCAGCACACAAGACAGGGAAGCAGAGCCTAAGACACCCTGTAGCCTGCTAAAGACACTGGAAGCTTTCCTCTAGAACCCAGTGGGAGTGAGCACGTTCAGATCCCGAGGTTTGATGTTGTGGGATCGTGGAGATTGTTTCCTCCCATCTGTGCCTGGAATGTCCATTTTGGGTGGCTTGAAGGTGACTGGATCCTCTGTCATCCTTGTAGCCTGAGCACGCATCAGCTCCATTGGGGATGGCTTCTGAGCACCCTTATAGGATTGAATGGTAAATCCTCCTGATGAAAAAAAAATCACAGTAAAAACCAGGAAATCCAGTCAAATCCATTTCCTACTGCTGCCAGGAGCGAGCATGTCACGGACACTCAGCACCACAGACCTATGCAAATTCCAGCAGCCTTATATCATGTGAAGCCTATTCCACATCAGAGGTGGGCACTTCCAGTCCTGGTTGCATCACATATCAGAGAAGGAGTAAAAAGCTGTCACCTTCACACCCTGCCCCTCTCACTGCAAGTTATTTCTACTTCCAGATCCTTGGCACAGGTTTTACCCAACTGCTCTATATTTAGGCACAGAAATTATGAGTGACACAAGGTGGTCCTGGAGAGTAACAAGGCAAGCAGCATAAGACTCCAGAAAGATCCAGCAAGTCTGTTGTGTGACAGTTCTCCCCTTGCTCTTGGCAAGGCAGATTTTCAAGGACATACCTGCCTCACTGGCCGATTTCTGGACAGCTCTGGGTCCAAAAAAGCTCCACCTTTCAGATGGCAATCTGTCCCCACCACCTTCCATAGCAAAGTCTGAACCAGTGATGGAAGTAGAGGATCCCTGACTAAACCAACCCCTAAAGAAAAAAAAAATTTGAGATGTTTAAAACGTGAGAATAAATACTTCAAGTGACCCCACTATGCCAGGAAATTTTCATGTAGTCAAAAGGGGCAATTTAAGAAATCTTAATAGGTTTGTAACCACCCAGGAAAAGCTATGCATGCTCAAGTTCCACAGGCTTCCAACACTTGGATCTACCCAACACAAATCCTCACCAGGCTCTAAATTTCATCCTGTGCAGTCCCTCACAGGGCAAGAAGGTTATTTGTAGCAGCTCCCACCCCAGCAGCCTGTAGGAAACCAAAGGAGGCAGAGTACCTGTTTTTATGCCTGGGGGAGGAGTGGGGGGTGCTGCTTGGAGTGGACTGAGCAGAAGAATTCTGTTTGTCATCTTTTGTTGTCTCTCCATTCTGCATTTTTAGGTTCTGTCAGGAGAGGCAAGAGAAACAGAAGCAGCACAGCTTAAATATTGGACATAAGGAAGAACACCCAGTTTTTTTTACCAAAATCAAACAACTGTTTCTATCACAGGTGATAAAGAATAAATGTCACCACACCTGAAGTTGTATACAGTATTACAATACCTGCGTACATCCCTTGAAGTTTCTCTCCACATCAAATATTAGCATTTTTAAAGTTCACTTTAGGCTACAGAAAGGAACACCAGCACTCATAGGGAGGTTGGATCATGGATGCAGCAGAGCTCACTTCAGCTACATGGTAACTGGTCTAAATTTTCTCCAGCGTTTACCAGAGCAACAAAGCTTTCAGTCCCACCAGTTCTCTAATGAGGGTGAGACCAGCTCTCACAGAAAATACAAGATCAGGAATACCAGACCCTGTGAAGCAATTAGTGCACATCAGGATGGAAACTGCTCTGGAACAGAGATTAACCTGGGCACAAAATAAACAGGAACTGGGTGTATGCAAACCACGTTATTACAAGCTGGACAGTACAAACTGAACTTTGAAGAAGTCATTTGAAGGGCAGTTACAGTTCAAACACAAAATACACAGGGTACTTTGTAATGTTTCCTGTGGCTATTCAAGCCACACTAATGCAATTCATCGACACAGTTACTGAAACTTTGGCCTCGTGGGAGGACACTGGAAGAGTTGACTATTAAACTCCAACTGCAAAAAATTTTTAAGAACTCAACAGCCCACAGTAACATGTTCATTCAAGACTTCTGTTTTCAGTAAGACACATCTGGTAACTTCCACAATGGAAATGTACAGTTTACAAGTTCTCTCTGGACACATAGCTGCAGAATTCAACTGCAGGGCACCATTCAAAAGTATAGCAAGAAATTAGATTGTGTAGGATTGTCCCCACTTGGAAAGACAACTGTCATAGTTTGATATGGCAGTGAAATGTGACAGAGAAAAAAAAAAAAAAAAGCTGTTTCAAAACTACAAAGGCTACTGTTAACTTTAAAATACAATTGGGTAAGCTTTACTACACAATGAGCTAAAAGCCTTCAGAGGAAGCAGCTTAAGGAAAGTTCTGGCAACATGCTCCAAAAGTTATGTCCCCAGGTAAATGTTAAACCAGACCCATCCTACATAGAGAAACCCAGTGGAAAACAAGCCTTACATGGACTGCCTCAGCCACTCGGTGGTACTTGGTCTCCTCAGTGGTGAGGCCTTTGTGGGGTGTGTAGCCAGCTTCCCTCAGCCCTGCCTGCTGCTCAAAGCGCTGGATGCTCTCCTGAGTCTGCTCTGGAACACAAAGAGCACAAATTCACACAGAAATGCCACCACAAGCAGCTCTAGCAACTGAATGCAAACCCTTTCTCTCATCGTTCACACATTGTAACAAGCTGAGACAGAAAGATGCAGATGGTGAGATACTCTGACTTGACAACCACCCTGAGACACAGGGCTGAGATAAGCAGTGATTCGTCCCAAATCACCAGACATACCACAAATGCAACGCCCGTAATTAATCCCATCTCACCCCCAGACACTGCATCACTCCTACTCACAACTTCATAAATCTAGGAGAACCCAGTAAGTTGAACACTTTAAGTGGCCCAATGCATTCAAGGGAGCCTGGCAGGTCATGTTTTAAAGACTCCCAGTGATTTTTAGATCAGGTAAAATAAGCTGCTTCAGCCAGATACAGAGCCAGCATCTAACACCCTAATATCAACTTCAGTTCTGAAAAACATAAGCACTTCCTCCAAACCCCAGCATAAGATGCTCATTCCCTGGTGGAACAAGGAGAAAAGTCAAAAGGAAACAGAGCACAAAAAGATTAGTGGAAAAGCCCATTGTCTTCTTTAAAACAGGTAACACTTTCCATCTTAAAGTTATTTTCAGATCCCTGTTTTTTGTAGCTGCTGAAAGAAGAGGCAGCACGGACAGATCAACACAGAAATAATTCCTCTTATTGCAAAAGAGCACTCTGCAAACATAACTGACCCAATTTTATTTTAAAGCATCATGATTTATGTTTGCAAGTGATGCAATTAGCAAGGCAGCTGCTGCTATCAACAATATCAATGCCAGCAAGTGCTCCATTAACACTGTGTCAACTCCCCTCACTACTTGGGTTAATGGCAGAGCTCTGCCTGTCATTCAGAAATAACAAGTTAATAATCAAACAGAGCAGCAGCGGCCTCTGCACTCCAGCAACACGGACTGCAGTGTCCTGTCAGCAAACAACAAACTCTGCACTCCTACCCCACCCCTGGAAACACAGAAGCACCACGTGTGGTCTATTCCCCAGCTCCTTGCTTCCTTCTAGAAACATCCTCTGAAAAAAACAAACCCACACAGCCCCAGAGCAGAGCCAGCCTGAACCCAGGAGTTCTCCAGGAATTAGCCTGAGGGATCACCAAGCTGGAGCACCCTCAGTGCCCACCGCACACACGAGTGTGAGAGATGAGTTCTTACTTGTGATGAGGGAGTTCATGATGACGTGAGTGGCCTTGGCCTTCACCACAGGCACCTTGTTCACACTTTCAGTGGATGATGAAGGAGTTATGACAGGCTTCACGTTGGCATCCCCTTCCTCATCCTGCAGGGAAGCAGCAGGGGACAGTTTGAGATGGGGAAGTATCTCAGGATCTGGCAAGGACACATCTCTAACTAGACTAGAGAGACAAGGCCGTGCTGCTCTGGCAGCCAGCCTTCATCCCGTGGGAGAAATCCTGACACCGAGCACACTGCAGCAGGAATGGTCAGAACCTGACACTCATTGCAATGAACAAGTGACTTACATCCAACATCTGAACACCTACCAGGCTCAGAGCAAACAAGCTGTTACTCCAAGTACAGAAAGGTAAACAGGCAAGAAACCAGAACATATGTCCTCCTAAATGCAAACTGGACTTCAAGGTCAACTGGGCAAAAGAACCAAGAGCACCTCCCAGGCAGTTAAAGCATCAGCTGTTCACAGAATTGCAGTCACAAAGCACAGCCTGGAGTGAACAACTTGTTTTCCCACCTCATTCCTTACATGTTTCTTGCTCAGTGTGTCCAGCAGTTACAGTTCGACCACTAGACCCCGGCAAAGAAACAGAAAAGAAATGCAAGAAAACAAAGTATCCTGTGAAACACTGACTTCCTCCACCCACCACAGGAGTTCCCTACTGAAGAGTTTACTTTTTGTACCAAACCACAACTTTTGGCTGTCTCCCACAAGAGATAAAAAACCAAGGAGGTATAAAGGTGAGGTTAAGCTCAAAGGGATACAGAATGAACTTCTTCCATCCAACAACATTAAGCTTAACTTCAAACTTAGAAAACAGGCTCTAAATTTAAAAGGGCTGGTCCTGTACTCAAAGCACAAAATCCCAGAATGGTTTGGGTTGGAAAGGATCTTAAATATCAACCAGCCCCAATCCCCTGCAACTGTGGGGGAACACTTTCCACTAGAGCAGCTCGTTCAGAGCTCCCACCAACCTGGCCTTGAACACTTCAAGGGATGGGGCAGCCACAGTTTCCCTGTACAAACTGTGCCAGTGCCTCATCACCCTTACTGTAAAGTATTTACACCCAACCTAAACCAGCCTTACGCTCTAGTTTAATGACACCTGGTTGCTGGGGGTTTTTAACCACAAACACGGAGGAGACGCTGAGCACACGCTTGTGCCACCCACACCTCCACAGAGCAAAGCCAGGCAGCGGTGTCGGGCTCTGTCCCCAGCCCCTCCCGAGGGTCCTGCTGGGCGGGCAGGGGGGCAGAGCCAGCCAGGCAGGAGGGGTGTAAGGACAGGGGGGATGCCAGAGCCGCGGGGTACCCAAGGACAAGCCGGGCCGTACCTTCGAGAGCTCCTGGTACTTGCGCTCGGGGATGACCGGCTGCTTCCAGAGGACGCTGGCGCACAGATCGGCGGGCGGCGGCGTCATGGGCGCCGTGTCCTCCAGGGCATCGTCGTAGCTGAAGGCGCGGCGCGGAACGCCGAGGGGCAACGACATCCTGCCCGAGCGGGCCCCGCCGCCCGGCTCCAGCGCTGCGGAGAGAGCGCAGCGCTCAGCGCCCGCCGCCGCAAGGCCCGACCGAGGCCGGCGGGGAGCGCGCGGGGAACCTTACCGGGAGCGTCGGGCTTCCCAGAGCTCATGGCGGGGCTCAGCGGGGCTCGGCGAGGGGCAGCGGGGCCGGGGCCGGGGCCGGGCCCGGGGCGCTCATAGCGGAACCCGCGCGAGTCGCCTCAGCCGGGGGCTGCTTACGCCTGTGGCGGTGCTCTTATAGGGGCGCGGTCTCGCGAGATGCGGTGGTTCCGCGCGGGGCACGCTGGGAGGTGTAGTTCCGGCGGGGAAGATGGAATTTACCGGAGAGGCGGGGCCGGGCTTCCAGCGCACCCGCGGCCCCGGCGGCGGGGCTGGAGCCGTGTCCTGCCCACGTGGCCCGTCCTCCTGCAAACAGGAGGTTGCTGAGTCAGCCCACAAGGCGCTAGGTCCTGGAAAACCAATCCTGGAAGCTGGCGAGCTCATCAGGAACAGGAGTACGTGGCAGACAGTCTCATTGTGACAGCTTTTCTACAGCTGCTCCTTCCTCTATCAATGAAAGGGTGACCTCCCTGCTGCCCTCCAGCTCCTCGGCAGGAAAGGGACCCCAGCCTGCTCTCCTAAGCTGCAGGCACAGGGAAAGGACACAGCACACGGCCCTGCTCCAACTCACGCTGCCTGCAGGACAATCAGCCCAGTCCGAGTGCTGCCCACACGCAGCCCTGTCCCTGCAGGGGGACATGTGCCCAAGGCCAACAGCACACAGGCTGGCACCAGGAGCTCTCCAAAGAGGACTGCACCAAGCAACAGCCAACAGATAAGACATTCACAAGCAGCTAGAAAGAGTATTTTATTTTAGCAAAGCTAAAGAGCTGGCTGCCACACAGAAAGTGAGCAGAACAGCACAGTCAGTGCCGGTGCCAAGAGTCTTTCATGGATAGTTAAACCCTTTCTGCCTAGTGAGGGCTCTTCCTCCATCACCAAAGGTTTTTTCAGTTTGGAAAATATTTATGTCAAGCCTGCACTTGCAGGTAAACCTGAGGAAAAAGAGCAGTCACTGCACTTCCATTTTTTCTGGCTTGAGTGATGCAACGAAATTCTTGTACTCCTCGGGATAGAAATTCTTGTACACATTGATCTTCCTCTTAATCTGTTTGGGAGTATCCTGGTAGTAGTTCTTCTCATCCCGAGCCATTTCCTGTGACAAAGGAGAAGGTAAGTCAGAGGAGCAGCCCCAAGAGCAAACACCAAACCAGCCCACCCACACCAGTGTGATCACAGCCTGACTCAGGTGGAGCTGGCCACAGTTCAAAGCGGTTTTTTTGTGTTTTTTCCCTTAATAATCAGCTGACTGCAAAACAGGATCCAGGACAGAGAGGATTAGCAGTTCTCATGCTGCTGATGGGAAGATCCAGGAGTGAATCCCTCCAGGTGCTCCTTGCTCTGGAATGTACCTTGTAGTTCTCCCCGTGGTTCTGGATCATGTAGCGCACATAGTCAATGAGGTCCCGGGACAGCGTGTTCGACTTCTTCTCAGGGAGGCTGGCCTCCAATTCCATCTCTAGGCAGAGGGCAGAGGTAGCATGAGGGAGGGGAAGGAAGCCACAACACCTCAGAGGTCCCCAACCTCCCCCCAAGGTCGACTCCAGCCACACAGCTTGGCTGCTGGTGCACGCAGGGATGCTTCCCAGCATGTTGGTGCAAGAGAATGGCCCAGACAACTGCCCTGTGCTCGGGCTGCAGGCATGCAGGCCTGCAGTGTGACTGCTCAGAGCTGCCCAGCCCACCACTGAAGCACCAGGCACGGCCTCCGTGGCCTCTTGTCACCCTGGACCCAGGCACCAGCACATCTCGCAGTGACAAGAGCCCTCCTGAGGCTGCAGGGACAAACACTGTGGAAAAGACATGCTCCTCCACAAGGCTGGATGAGAAACAACACCCTTCCCTACCCCTGGCACAGCACAGGATGACAGAATAGCCCAGAGGGGCTCGGGAGAACCCCAGCTGCAGCACTGACCATTCACCACGTAGGGCTTCCGCACGATTTTCTTTCCTGGCTGTTGTCCATCGCTTTCCACTTCCATCCCCTGAATCACAGCAGAGAAAAGACAAATGAAGAAAAGCCCACTCTGAAGAGAGCTGTGTCCCCACACATTGTTCCCAAAACTCCAAACTGCTTCTACATGGCTGCAAGTGGCAGGAAACCAGCTGGCTTAAGCAGAGCTTTACTTGTGCCATGAAACTGCCTTGTGGGCGAGGCTGTCAGCTGAGAAACGCTGTGTGAATGGAGCCAAATGGCAAACAAGGTCATTCCTGCTTCTTCCGTGAGTTCCTTGGGCCACCTTTCACCTGAAAGCATTACCCTCTTACGCAGATGGGCCAGGCTGGCACTGCTGTACACAAAGAGCCCTTCTTTGTTATCAGGAACAGCTTGGCTGCAGCGTTCCCAACCCCGCCTGTCCCTGGAAAGTCCCAGGAGATGGACTGAAGATTTTTTTATACTTGTTCTAAAGTCCATAATGCCTCCGGAGCGCTGTAGCTCGTTCCCACGCCAGGATCTTGGTGAGATAAGCGCATAGATCAAGATAAGAAACGTGTCCACTGCCAGAGACTTATCCAGAGCCACCTGCCCAGCGCTGCGAGGATAACCACCCCCCCCCCCCGCAAAGGAGCGGTCCGCGCCAAACCCTTCCTTACCAGCAGCTTCTTCGGGATGGGGACAGCTTTGTTGGGATCCTCGGCCAGGCCCATCTCGGCCAGGTTCTGCGCCACCGACTTGTGCGGGTCCCAGGCATGGCGGATGTGCGAGCTGCGCAGGGACAAGCGACATCAGGGCCGTGTCCCCCTCCCCACCGACACGTGCAGCGGCTCCCGGCCGCCCTGCCCCAGCCCACGCTCGCCCCCCGTGTCCCCGGCGCTCACCAGGCGATGCGGGGCGCGGCGCGGCGGCGGGCGCTGCGGTAGAGCCGCTTGCGGTTGAGGTTGTAGGAGTATTTGTGCCGCCGGCTCTTCCCCTTGGCCTTCGGCATGGCGGACACACGCGGGCTGGCCGCGGGCTGCGGCGCGCGCCCCGGGGCACTACGGGAAGTGTAGTTCCGGGACAGCAGAGCCGCGCGGTAAGTGCGCGCGTCGGACTGCAACCCCCGGCATACACTGCTTCGGAGGTGGGGCTACGGCAGCCGGAAAGGGCCTTGCTGTCACCTTGGCCATGGCGGCCGGGCCGCCCCCGCCGCTGGAGCCGAGTCCGCTGCCCACGTTCCCTGAGGAGGGATTCGCGGAGAAGTTCGTGCGCAAGACCCGCGAGAACCCCCTGGTGCCTCTCGGTGAGGGTGGGGCGGGGGGTGGCGGGACGGAGGCTGAGTGAGGGGCGCGGGCCGGCGCGATGGCCGCTGGTGCGGGGCCGGTCCCTCAGCCCCGGGCCGGCTGTCCCCCGGGAGGCGCGGCTCGGGTTTGGGAGTGCGGGGGAACCGGCACCGCCTCACAGCCGCCGTCCTTCCCCGCAGGCTGCCTGTGCACCGTCAGTGTCCTGGTGTACGGAATCATCTGCTTCAAGAAAGGCAACACTCGGCGCTCCCAGCTGATGATGCGGGCGCGTGTCATAGCCCAGGGCTGCACCTTCGCCGCCCTGCTGGGGGGCATGATGGCCACGGCCATCAAATCCCGACAGTGACATCGGACAAGAGCGAAGCTGCGGCCACGGGCAAGTGTCTACAGCAGCACTGGCTGGGGATGGAGTTTTCTGAGAGACTGTTGTGATGTCGCAGCAGAGCCAGTTCTGGAGCACTGGAAATGGGGTGAATACACTGTGCGATTAACATGCAATGTAGGCTGTGGCTTTTTTTTTTTTTTTTGTTTCCCCAGGAGCTCACCCTCCTGCAGCACTGAAGCTGCACGTCACTAAGGCTCACCACCCCTGTCAGACTTCCTGTCCATGCTTGATACTGTCACAGGCTGATAAAATTGTGTCTTCTTAGTCATGGTCTGAGGTGTGGTTATAGTCAGGCAGTGACCAGCATTTGAGAAATGAGCTGCCCATGAGGAGGGAACCACTGTTTATGGCTTGGTCCTGGCAGGACAGAGTCCCTAGGCAGCGGGGGAGGCAGTGTGGGAGGTTGTGTGAGCTGTGCAATTGAAACTGGTGAGTAATAAAGTGAATTGCAGCAAGATTCTGACTGATACTGGGTTGCAGAGCACTGTGAAGCCATAACAGTAAACAGTGCAGGGAGAAAAAGGAGTGGGCATGGCTGTCTTGAAGCTGTGGTGATGCAAGAAACAAGACCTGAAACTCCCTGTGAAAACAAGCAGGGAACTCACATTTCTGAAATGGAGTCTGGCTGTGTTCTCTGGGATGTGCTGCTGCTTCAGCTGTTCTTGCTGGGGAGTCAGCAGCACTTTCTTCTCCAGGAGACTTGCACTGCCTGTGTCCTGACAAACATGGTCCTGCTGTTGGCTTTGGATCACACCAGTGGGTTTGGTGATCCACGAGGCTTTGCTCTCCGTGCCAGGGCCACGGAGCTGGGAGGACGTGGGGCCACAGTCTCTGTTCACTGCACTGTGGCTGCAGCAGCTCGTACCTGCAGGAGAAGGGGCACAGAGGGACACCTCTGTCTGTGCTGAAACACCTCACCCAGCAGCCTGGGCTGTTTCCAGGTGTTGTTCTGTGAGCTGATGCCTGTGCCCTGAGTCCTTGTAAGGATGGGCTGAGGGGTGAACCCTCTGTCTGCAAACAAGCATGTGGATTGTCCTGTCCAGGGAATTGTGCTGGTGGGCTTTGGCAAGGAGAGAGGGAAGGCTCTTGCTTACCAGAGCTGATGTCTGAGTTGTGAGGGTGGGCAACAAGCCATCGCCAGTGCTGAGCAGGGTGAGCTCCACCTCGGCATGGAGCCCAGGGCCTGTCTTCCCTCCCTGGCTGCCTGTGCAGGACATCTTTCCCAGAGGAAACTGCTTCTGGCTGCCTCCCTGGCACCTCCAGCCCAGCCAGCTTGGGGCAGGGGTGTGAGGAGCAGCAGGTGGGCAGATCCATGAGCACAATCCCGTGGCAGCTGGAGAAAGGTGCAGTGGACAGGGAGCAGCTCAGCCTGTTTGGACAAGCCAGAGCTTGCAGTTCCTTGGGGACAGGAAGCCTCAGGTCCTGCTGCCACTGCTTTGGCCCCATCCGAGCACAAACCCTCTGGCCTTCCTCTCACTCCTTTTTTTTCATGTAGGATGTTCCTCCTCCAGCCCCATCCTTTCCACAGGAGGCTTCATGGCTGTAGGTTCTCCTAAACACAGTGTGCATCCCTAAAGCAGAAAGACGACAGTGCCCTGTAGGATTGGAGATGTTGGTTTATTGTAACAGGTAATTTGGACAGTCACAGATACCAAAGCCGAGGGGATGTAGAACAGCTGTGGGCACGGCTCCCCGAGAGTTGCCCCGGCCTGACACGGAGCACATGGCAGCTGGGGCACCCAGGGGCCCAGCTGCCTGCAGGGGCTGGAGGGACACAGCACAAGGGGGGCACATTGCCCACCCACAAGTAGCCAGGGGTGCTTCCTGCTGCTCTGCAATGCAAGGCTGAGGCAGGCAGCCGAGTCCCCAGGTGCCCTGCAGCACAGCAGAGCTGCCTACGCATGCTGGAGCTCAGGGGGCCAGGCAGGGACGATCAGCCCTATGGGCAGGGGGCACAGTCCCAACACACAACAGCAAGTGATTCCCTACACACCCATTTACCTTCCCAGCCCACTGGTGAGATCATGCCCCAGAGCCATGGGTGCCCAGGCACCCCCACAGCTGCAGCAGCAGGACTGGTGATATTCTGGCCCTGGAGCCACAGGTGCAGGGCAGGAGAGCTCTGCACACTTGATTTCCTGCTGAGCAGGGCTCTGCAGAGGGGCTCAGGTGAATGTTTTGTGAGCTCTGCTCTATGTCCCTCCAAGCTGCTGCAAACCGTTCCCAAGCCCTCAACAGGCCAGACCCAGAGCACCAGCTCAAGGCTGTCCCTCTCCTGCTACCCAGGAGTTTTGCAGGTTCCCAGGACTGGTGCCATCCCTGCCAAGCAGAGGAGTAAAAGTTCGAGCAGGGAGCAGGACTGAGGCATCTCCCCACACTGCCTTAGGTGGGCAAATCCAGGGGGCAGAGCAACTGCAGACAGATGTGCAGGTTGTTCTCAGGGCCAGTATAAGCTCCAGTACCAGAACTCTGCCCAACCCAGCTCTGGACCCCTGGGTTAGGAAGATGGGGCTTTGACCAGCCCCACAGCAGCTGGACCTTCCTACCTCCTTCCCTGCAACTACACAGCCTCCATCTCCCATTCTGGTAGCAACGGAAGGAACAGAGCAAAGCCAAAGGTCCCCCAAAGTCTGGACTCCCACATTCCCAACTGCTGGTGTTCATGGGGGAAGGACAGGAAACATCCACAGTCCCTTCCCAGTGGCCCACACCACTGTGCTGCCAGTGCTGCAAGATGGATGGGACATGGACACTGGAGCTGCACCAACTTTTTGGGGCATAGCAACGCTGGGCAGAGTTCTGATGGGCTTGGGGCAGCCACTGGCAGTCCAGGCCAACCTGGGCACCTGTACTTACATTGCTCAGTCCCTGCCAGTCTGGCAATGCCATGCTGCAGCCATGCTCCCTGCAGGACCCAGAAGTGTGGAGACAAGCCAGGGCTGTTTCTCCACCCTCTCAACCCTGCTCCAGCTGTGCTCTAAATCCCATGGAAAAGGCAGACAACAGCCCAAGATCCCATTGGGATCCCTGCCTCAGGGCTAGGACTGAAGCCTGGACATGGGGCTGCCAGGACAGCTGCAGGCAGGTTTATTGCCAGCACAGGGTTGAAGTGGGGAACACAGGATGGGATATTCCCTGCTCATTTAGCCAGGCCCTCAGACATAACCTCCTGAAGAGCCTGGGCTGGGGCTTCCCCACTAACTCAGCTCTGCCACCCAGTGCCGCTTCCCGGGGAAATGCCACAGTGATTTATAAATAAGTGTAAAAAGAGACCAATGCACCTTTTAAGCAAAGGAAAACCATGGGGAGAGTTATACAACCAGTGACTCGAGCACAGCCGAGGCAGATCACGGAGCAGGCAGTGGGAGGCCCTTCCTGGGCCGGCCCCTGAAGCCACCTGGCTCAGTGAGCCCAGCCGTGCCCACTGTGCTCCCAGCTGTGCCAGGCACAGCTAACGGGACAGGGGCGTCTGTTTGAGGGAGATGAGCACCGAGCGCATCCGCGAGACATCCTTGCTCTGCTTGCTGCTCTTGGGGTTGAAATCACACAGCTGGGCCACCTTCTCCCACTCAGAGCCTGGGGTCTCCTCCTTGGACTCCTTCAGGAATGCTTCCTCCGAGGCCCTGCAAAGATATTGAGGGTTGTCACTGGCAGACCCTTTCTAAGGAGACTCTTCCTTCTGTCTTAAAAACCCTTGTGTCCCTGCTTCCTGTCCCTTACCCCAGCTGATGAGCTCAGTGTCCTCTGGGACCAAGAGACATGCGATGCTCAAGTCTGCCTTTGGCTGCACTCACGCAAAACATCAATCATTCATCCAGGGGTGCAGGAGTATCTGCCTGCTCTGAAGACTTGACCCCCACAGAGCCATCCCCCACAGAGCCCATGGTTTTGCATCTTCAACCAGCTCCCACAGAGGCATTTCTAGGAGCTCCACTCATCTCCTAAAACTCCACTATTTGGAGACATTCAGCTGCATCATCCTCCCTCTGGTACCTCACCAGGCCAGTACCTCCCAGCATCCCCCCTTCCCTTGGCTGGGCAGGCAGTGCTGGGGCCGGGACCCCCAGAGCCTTTGGGGCAGGATATGGTCTGTAAGAGGCACATACACGTAGCCAATGACATCGGCGTCCGGCTGCTGGTAAAAGGCTTTGTCAGCGATCCTAGCCCCGGGCACAGAGAGAGAGAGAGTGGAGCGGAGCAACTGGCAGGCAGAGGGTTAGAAAGAGAGAACAGAGGGGGTTAGTCCTCCCAAAGAGTGACCCACACACTTCAGCACACCAGGAGAACCTGGAGCCCAACCCTGTCCCCCCATGAGTCCCATGCAGGGGCAGGAGGCACCAAGATTCCAGGGTGATCCCAGTGTGGTTCCAGCCAGAGTGGCTCTGCACAGCCACCAGAGCCACTCCAAGACCTGGGGTCTCTCTCCTTGCTTGGCAAGGCTCTGTCCCTGCAGGGCTGGACCCCACTGTGGGGAAAGAGGTCCTCAAACATCCCAGGAAGGCAGACAGTCCTTCTGGTCACACTGACCCCAACATACCTGTTGTTTGCTCGGTTCTTCTCCATCTGCTCATTCTGACGCAGGTTCCACTCCTCCAGGTCCTTCTTGGCCTTCTCACGCCATTCCTGCTCAGTCACCTTCGATGCCGCATCTAAGGCCCGAGTGAGACAGAGCCCATCAGCCACACTGGCACCTGCTGCGTGTGCTGAGCAGCTTGGCAGGCAGGACAGCTGCAGCCCCTCAGACCTGTCCCCAGTCCCAACCAATACTGGCCAAAAGGCACCACTGCCCCAAGGACAACAGATCTTTGGCAGGGGCACGAGACATCTCTCTGGGATGCAGCAGGGTCACCAAGAGGCGAGGGACCCCAAGGGCCCTGAGTGCCATGTCACAAGGTGCCACAAACACAGGGGGCTATACATGGCCTTGGGTCTCACCCAGCTCCTCCAGGCGCTTCTTCTGTTCCTCCCTCCACTTGCGGATGCTCTCAGGTTCCTGGGTCAGCCGGTCAGCCTTGGCTATGGCTGCGTAGGCATCCGTGGGGCCGTTGGACTCCTGCAGCACATGAGCACCTCACCATCAGCACCAGTGTTTCCAAGAGCCCAGCTCAGCCACCTCCAAGGGCTGGCAGCAGTCAGGACTCCACACTCCCAGCACTGACAAGCCAAGATAGGAGGTGGGAAGGGTGACAGCTTGGGACATGAGGGACAGCGTTCCCAAAGTGCTACCCAAGCTGCTCTCCCAGCCTCAGGCCCTGTCACCTAAAGCCTTCCCAGTGATTCCCTCGACTTGCTGCTCTCTGCCACTGCAGCTGTTGCTCCTCCAGGCAGCCCCACTGCACAGGGCAGACACTGGCCTTGGAACTGCTCCCCAGGGATTCCCTGGCCCTCACTGGGGCCCAGGCAGCTCCTAGACTGAGCTGCTTCCCTCACGTCTGAGCTGAGGGCCCCGCCAGGCCCAGCACCTCCCCTAACACTTTCCACTGGCCAGATGCCCAGTCTGACACCAAGCTCAGCAATGGGATTACAGCTTTCTTCCAAGATCCTCAATCTAATTAAGTCTGTCCCACTCCTGATGCGATTATCATCCTGTAAACCTGGCATGGGCAGTGCATATGCCCCACTGTTGGGCACCAAGTGGGGTGAAGGGCTTGTGAGATGCTGTCATTGCTGACAGCAGAGCTGGGCTTCTGGCTCCCAAAGGGATCTGAGACCCAGGTGGGTCTCCCCAAAAGTCCCCTGGCCATGGGTCAAGTGGTTTTCATGGGAGATTCAAGTTCCATGGCAGGCCTATCCTGTCTCTGGCCTCTGTCAAGAGATGCCCCTGCCTGCTCCAGAGGCCTCCAGAAGCTACCCAGGCTAGAGAGAGGGGACTTCTTGGGGAATGGATGATTTGTCACCTGCTCTCAGGGCCCAGGCACTCCTTCATGGCACAAGCCACCTGCAAACACATGTGGGGCAGATCATGGCAGGTGGGACACATCTTCTCTTCAAAGAGAATGGAGCAGCCAGGACTCACACAAGAGACCCAGACCTTTCCAGGAGCACCGTAGCTGTTCTGCAGCTGGACAGCAAACTCCAGTCAATGCTGGGGGCAGAGCAGCAGATTGCTGGCTCCATACCCACCCAATCTTCCTTAGCAGCCCTGGGCCAGCAAAAGGCTGAGCTCTCACCTGAAAGACATCTCCATTGACAGTGGCTCCTCCATTCTGGAAACCTGCTTGAGAAAAAGGAAGAGAGAAGGAAAAACACAACTATGACAGCTGTAGATGATCCCAGAGGGGCTGGTGTTCATGAAACAACATCAGATCAGCTCCTGGGAGTTTGTCTGTGCCTTTTTCAGCTCAGCACACCCATGGCACAGCACCCTTCCAGTGTCCTGTGCTTGGTGGGATTCAGCAAGCACCTCTCACTCTCTCACACAAACTTCTGCAGGCATTTATGTCTTTATGGTGTTTTCACTGGTGTTTAATCTTATCTGAAGATTAGGGAAACTGCTCTGGCACAAGACCGACACAGGCTGCTGCTCTGACTGTAGAAACACAACCTGACCAAGCCCAACCTGCAGAGGCTGCTGATGGACACAGCTGATCCAAGAGCTGCCAGCCAAGTGCCAAGGCAACTCTCCAAGGACACAGCCCATGGAAACACTCCTTGTGCTCCACCAGGACAGGAGGGCATGCTTGCAGGTCCTTGGGAGTGCACCTGGGATGAGCTGCAAGGTCAGGGTTGGTAATGAGGCACCCATCTGCCCCCGCAGCCCCAGAGAGCTGCACACCTGGGTTACAAAGACAGCTCAGGCAGGGGGTTTTCTGCTGCCAGGAGAGAAGAGACTTTGAAGGAGTCACACTCCAGGCCCTGAGCCTTCCCCAGTGACCACAGGGTTTCTCCTGGCCAGCCAGCTGCAGGCACAGACCCAATGCAGCTGAGTCCAGCACTGTCCCCAAAGTGCTCAGCCCCATGACTACACCCAGCTCCAGCCTGTCTAACTGCATTTATCACTGTGGCTGTCAACACCTCTCCAGGCCCAGATCTGCCTCCATGGCCCTGTGTGCAGAGCTCTGAAATCACTGTTCCACAGACAGCATGAGGAGACCCTGTGGGGCTGGGTTAGGGAAGGAGTCAGAGCCCTGTGGCAACAGTGCCCGTATGTCCACACAGAGAGCAGGTGCCAAAGACCCTGCAGACAGGAGAGCAGAATTAGCAAATTCTACCTGCAGGGCCTGGGACCAAAACGTTCCCAATGGCAATATCTTCCATTTTGCATCCCAAAGGGCTCTCCTGTCTGTGGGGACAGTGACAAGGCTGTCACTGCTCCTCAGTGCCGCCTGGATGCCTTTAACACTGCCATAGCTGGGAGCACTGAAACATGGAGTCGGGAGTCCATCCAACCCGGGAAACCCAGCACAAAGGGGAGAAATCACCCCATGGCTGGCACATCCCAGCTCAGGATTCACCCCACATCCCCGAGGTTCGAGAAGCCCTCTGGGCATAAGCACAGGCCCAGATCCTAGGATGCCAGCCTGGCCCACAGGGTCACCCCGCCACCGGCCCATGAGGCGCAGCACAGACCCCATCACCCACCGGGGATGCTGTGCATCCCCCGGGGACCCCAGCCCCGCGTGGATGCGGCCCGGAGGACCCTTCCCTGCCTTCGGGACACAAGGGGGCACAGCCCTCCGTAACCCCACAAGGTCGGGAGCCCGCCCGCACCCAGCGGGAGCGCAGCCGGGCGGCCCCCGCGGGCGTGCTCACCCTGTTCCGGCGGGGCCGCCTGCCCGCCCGGGGCGGCGGCCGCCTCGCCGTCGGTCGGCCCGAAGCCCTCATCGTTCTCGATGCCCGCGATCTCGCTCTCCTGCTGGGCCAGAAAGGCGGCGGCCGGATCCTCCTCGGCGCCAGCGCCCTCAGATGAGGAAAAGAAGCCGAAGTCGTCGGCCATGATCGGCCCGCCCGCGCCGCTCCCGGTCCGGCTGCGCGGCTCGGCTGGGCTGGGCCCGACTGTGCCCGGGCGGAGCTGTCGCTGTCACTGCGGCGGCGGGCGGGGCAGCCGCGCTGACATCAGCGCCGGGGCGGGCCCGCCGGCCCGTCCCGCCTCCCGGCCAGCCGCAGCGGGCACGGGCAGCCGGGGCTGCCCGCCTGCCTCCCCCGGGGTCGACTGGCCGCGGTCCCGCCTCGCCGATCCCTCACGCGGGCGCTCGTAGCTGCGGGTGGGAGCGGGGGCCCCTCACAGCCTCCTCCATCTTAGCGGCCGCCGCCATCTTGGGCCCGGCGCACGGGCGGCCCAGCGGGACGAGGGGTGCCGGGCAGGACCCACCCGGCGGGACCGGAGGTAGCGGGCAGGATCCACCCGACGGGACCGAAGGTGCCCGGGCAGGACCCACTCGGTGTCTGGCAGCCCCCGCGGTGACGGGAACACAGCCAGCTCCGGGGGGTGTTCGGCTCATATCCCCCCGCCCCCCTTGGGCTCAGGGCCCGCTCCCACTGCAACAGGCTGCCCCCTCATCCCCGGCCTGTTCCGGGAACACCCGAGCAGCCCTTGGCACGCTTCGGAACTCTTCGTGTGTCCGCCGGGAACACCCGAGCGGTGCTCGGCACTCTTCGGAACTTTACGTGCGCCCGCCGGGGAAACCCGAGAGCGGCCACCGCCGCCGATGGGATTCGGGCATCTCCGGACAGGCCCCAGAGCACTTCGGTTGTGTCCGGAATGCGGCCCAGCAGTTCCGGCGGTGGCCGATAAACAGCCATTGGCCGCGCCGCGCGGGGCTGGGCTGGAAGTGTGGGCGGGCGACGTCACTTCCGGAGAGTGACGGAGCGGCGGGTCAGAGGCGGCAGCAAAATGGCGGCGCCTGAGGAACGGGAGCTGACGGCGGAACAGACCGAGAAGCTACTGCAGTTCCAGGTGCCACGTCCCGGGGGGCCCGTGCCGGCCGGCGGGAGCGGGGGAGGCGGTGCGTGGACACGGAACGGGCTGAGCTGGGCCCGCCCTGCCGGCGCTGGGGGGTACGGGGCTCCCAGAGCCGGATAGGCCCGTCCTGGAGCAGGGTGTCGAGCTGGGCATGAGGGGACGGTGAGAGGAGAGACACCTGTGGTCCCAGTCCTGGCTGGGGTGAGTGAGATTTCCGTGCCCCTGACACTTTGTCGGGGCGATATTCTGTCATGGCTAATTGTGGAGGCGAGAGGTGGCTGCTCAGTAAACTCCGTGCAGGAAAAACTCCTTGGTAAGTCCCGGCCATTTTAATTAGTCTGAAAATTTTCCTTGTCGTAGCTGGAGAGCCTTTCCTGGCACTGAGGGAGAGTTATCCAGTGGGTTTGTGTGGAACATGGCTCCTGCCCCTCACGATTGGGTAACGCCGCTGGAGACTGTAATGATCTAATCTGTGTCTGCTACACAACACAGGCAAGGTCGCTTAACCTTTGGTTTGCGAGGCCTGGGGCTGTGTGGCAGATGAATGATCATAAACACAGTCTGAAGATGTGGCTTGTTGAGGAGAAAACAGAGCTGGGCAGCTGAAATTCTCAGGGTTGCTCAGTGATGAGTAACTAAATGTGCTGAGCAATGAAAATTACCTTCAGGTGTCTTGGTTTGTTTCTGAGCTGTAGGACATCACATGGCATCCCTTGGACTGTAGTTCTTTTACAAATACTGTGATCACTTTTAGGAGTGCTTTGTCTGCTTTTGTAGCTTTACATTATTTTTTTAAGGCTGTGCATTGGCAGTTTGGTGTGATGTAACTGGATTTAAAGGGACTCCGGGGGCATCTGGCCCTGCCTGCCCAGGTGAGGCAGAGCAGGTGTTCATCATTCCACACACTGCCTTCCCAAGCCTTCCCCTGATTCACAGCCCCGATTTAATTACCGTGCTGAGGTGTTTTCCTGGGACTGGACCTAGGAGGAGCCTTGCTTTACACATGTCCCCTCCAAGTCTGCTGCAAACTGAGCTGTTTGGGCAGTCAGATTAAATACAGACTGAAGGCACAGAGCAGTGTTAGCCATTGCTGTCCCTGTGCTGCCTGGTCAGTAGGGGAGGGTTTTGCACATATAAATGTCCCATTCTCTTGCTGTGAGATATCCTGGTGCTGCTCTCCCCACTGCCTCTGCTGCTGTTTCCAAACCCCTGTGGGCAGCTGTGAAGTGAAATAATCCTGTTTGCCAGTGCCACCTGCTGTTGTCATGGACAGAGGGCTGTCAGGGAGGCAGAAGGAGGGATTCATGCTTTAGTCCAGCTTCCTGTCAAGCTCTGGTTTAAGGCACAGGGAAACGCTCCTCAGGCTGTAAAGGGGAGAAATTTTTTCACTCAGAGCACTGCTGTGCAGAGCCAGATGTGAAAGCTGTGCTCCAGAAGGCTTGGATGCCAGCCAGGATCCTCCCTCTTCTGTCTTCTGGGGTGTGTTGGATCTGCTTTCTCCCGGGCTAATGACAGACCCCACTGGTGGTTCCTTCTCCTCTGGTGTGTCCCACCTGGCTGAGAGGGGCTCGGGTGTGAGCCCTGCTGCTTCCTCAAAGGTAAATCAGTCCACTTGGAAGAGATGATAGGTTTTTTTTCTCAGACTCCAATAGGAAGAATGTGGTGTTTGGAGAGATTAGCTAAGTCTCATTAAAATAATTTGTACATTGCTACAAGTCAGCTTGGAAAGCCTTCAGGGATCCCTGCTGACTTTGCAGGGATCACTTCAGTGTTTTCAAGGATAATTTCACACTTTGTGAAGTGCCATCATAAGTAGGCTGTACAGCATTCCATGGTGACAGAGCCCAGGACTTCCACAGAAGGTTACATCCCTCTGCACTGTGGTGGGAGCAGCAGAGCAGACCAGGAAAGAAGGCAGGATGACAAGGAGGAGGTGAGGAATAGTAGAAGGCCCTCAGTGAAATTGAGAGCCAAAGGGAGGGTAGCATTGAGCAAGGACTGCTGTGCACCTGGCAGACAGCTCTTTGGGCTGAAGATGCTGTTGCCCTAAACTGTTTATCCTGCTTCTGCTGGAGAGTGCCCCTTTCCAGGCAGAGGTGAAGGTGCTGTCCTGTCCTGGCCCGAGCTGCTGGGCACAGCTCTGGTTAGTGCCTGCTCTGCATTAATTCCACTCCTGTTTGTGTGCTGGGCTCTAGTGCTCATACAAACAGCTTTGCTGGCAGAATGCTGAAACCAGCAGCTTCCTTCTTGTGGGCAGGGCTGGAGCAGGGCAGCTATCTGCACCATGCTGGGGCAGGTTAGTAAAGGGAAAAAACAGTGGAGAGAACTGGGATAAACTTGAAATGAAAGCAGCAAAGCCTCTTGCATGCTTTCAGCCTCCCATTTACTGCCAGAGAGCTGGCTAATAATGTAAGGGAATAAAAGCATCTAAATTTTTCATCTGTCGAGACCTCGCTGTCCTGACATTTGGAGAGAGAAGTTTGCTGTGAACAGTTTAGGAAAGTTGTGGAGATGTGATTCATTTGGGAGATGGAAGAAACAGCAGAGCAGCTTTTCTAGGATCTGATTATTGATCTGTGCCCATTACACTGGGGCTGATGTCTGATATTGTAATATGCTAATGTAAAGTAATGGAGTGTTATTTGCAAGAGAGTTGGCACTCATATAATCTGTGACTTCAGCTGGGGAAAACAGAATGCTCAAGGCTGGATATGGCTCTGATTTAGGGGAAGGAGGAAACATGAAACTCCAGGCAGCTTTCCCACTCAGTGTATCGATCAAAACCCTCAGAAAGGCATTTGCTGTAATATGCAATGAGAAACTCTTGTTTAAGGCATTTTTCCAGTTAGAACTCAGATGTTCTTTACCCTTGGAAAGTAATTCTCTGGAATTTGGCAGTGGGTTGGGAAGTAAGAGCAGTGCCAGTTAGTCCCGTGGATTTGCATCTCCTGGGCTGTGTCGACATCGCAGTGGATCTGTAGAGGCGACGGTTTCGTAAGTCCAGTTTACAACCTTTGTCCACTCAGGGGTATTCCTTCTGCTTTTGAAGCATGAAATTGTACTTTCCACTACTTCAGTATTGAGAAGATTCTGAGCAGTCTCAAAGGTGAGATAAAAATAATTACCTCCAGCAAAAGCTTCCTTATGCTTTACAGTAACACTCTTGCTTTGTGTGGTGGTTCTGAAGGCACTATTGAACTTTTCTGGCATTTGTGGAATTTAATGTTTGGTTTTTTGAAATATTGGCCACTATGTTGAGCTTGGATTTATTTGAAGGTTTGGGTGTGCTGGTTTAATGGGACTAATTTTAACTACTTATTATGTCTGTAAGATCCATGCTCTTAAAGGCAGCTAATAAGAGATCAGAGTAGCAAGGTTTGAAGATGCTGGTTATTCTCTTAGCCCTGATGATACTAAGTATGTGCTGGTTTGCCATGTGTGTAAGCTTGCAGCTGAAGTTCACCAGAGATGCTGAGGCAGTGGAAATAATGTGAAGTTTCGAGTTTCTGGTCTGTTTGCATGACTTGGTGAAGCAGGGGCCTAGGAATGCCGTGGGGGTGATAATGACCAGTATCAGTGCTTGCCAGCAAGAGTTGTCTGAAGTGGCAGTTGAACTGTGGTCCTGCCATTCCTAACATCGGGTGTGGGTCATTCTGAGCCCTGGTGTGTCTCCCAGAACATGGAGGAGCTGCGGTGTATCCAGTGGAGCACATCAGAGTAACAGCCAACAAGGTGTTGGGCGTTAAAAGCTGCCTTTGCCCGGCAGCTTTTCCTGCAGTGTTTAATTGTGAAGCCTCATTGATCGGACAAGTGGCGGGAGCGCTCACACAGTGCTGCTTGGAGTGGCTTTGTCACTTCTGTTTTGGGTTGAAAGCAGCTGTATTAAGATGCTAAGGAAAAAAAATAAATAAAAGGAAATTCACCTCCCTGGAGAGCTGGTGTAGAAGACTGAGAAGTGGCTAGAGCTGCCTGTCACTGTGGTGGTGATCAGGAAGGGTGAAGCTGGCTGGCTCTGGTGTCTCTGTGGAACTCAGATGGTTTTGCAAACGCTGCAGTAATTCAGTGCTCATTAACTGCTTGTTGATAGCTCTGCTGCTTTCTGACCCAAAACTGCAGAAGAATTTTGCATCATTTAAAAAGGGGGGTGATGTTCTTAGTGCTCACAGATAATCCAGGCGTTTAGAAACAAAGGTGTAAATGAGTTTCTGAATCTTGTAAACTTTGTAAACACCAGCAGAATTTCCAGGGTATTGAGGAAGGTGATCAGAAGACTTTCAAGGCTCTGGAATAAACACATTGCAACTCCACTGTAAAATCAATTAATTGAGTAGATTGCAGGTGCCTTTAATGGTGTCCTTCTGAAAAGACAATTAAGTGCCTGCTATAGGCGTTCAGGTTAAAAAAATAAAGTCAGAATGCAAAATAAATTGAATAAAAAGTAAAGTCAGAATACAAACCCTAAATTTTACTCTGTGAAGCAGATCTTCAAAGAAAGATAGCTAAACTAAAACATTAAATGATGAAACTGAGTGATAATAAAAGGTATTCTAGCAACAACAGCTGAGTTCACTGAGCTTTATTTCTTCTCTGAAATCCAGTTCTGCAGTGTTCCCTTGCAAGGCTTGCAGCAGACTTACTTTTTAATAAATATTTATACACCACTGAACAGCTACTTGAAGTGCTTTTTTTTTCCTGAACTTCTGCAGTCACAATGCTTTAAACAGTCTGATTGGTTCTGTGCAGCAGAATGAAACAATGATTTTTGCCCAGTAGATTGGAGAGAAGGTGGTGACTTTGTGAGAAAGAAGCCAAGAAATGCTCGAAAGTTTGAACTGAGCCCAGAGATTGAATAGGGCATTTGTCCACAGTGTTTGTTACTCGGGTGGAAATGGCATGTGGAATGTATGAATGGGGGCAGGGAGGGGAATAGATGCACCATCCTTCTCCAGTAAAAAAAATAATTCAGTGCATTCTTAACTGCTCAGCCTGTCAGGAGTGTGTCAAGGCTTTTTCAAGGAAAACATCTGCTCAGACCTTAAAGCAAGTGCAGTGGGGAGAGATGTTTCTGTGGCACAGTGATAGGGGTGTTCCCTTCAGCAAATGTTTGTCTCTGTTCAGGAGATGCTGATGTTGCTTCCTGTAATAACAGACACAATTGTTTGATCTGTGCAGAAATTCTGATTGGCACAGGGCTAAAATACACCCAGTGGCTTTGAGGTTTGTCAGTGTGTTTGGATTGTTTTCTGTTTCAGGCCCTGTGTTGGACTGTTCCTGCTTTTTTTACTACTGTTTACTATACTTTTTTTACTTCCCCTGTGGTGCTGGGAACATCACCTTTAGTAATGCCTGGCTCGTTTTGGTTTTAGTTTCTGTTTATGCTGGCAGTGAGTGGAGTAACAGTCATCTTGAGTTTTCAGAAATGCTTTGTCTGTATTTTGAGTTCAAGATGATGTTTGAGGGCATTGGCCTGGCACATCTTTTCAGAGTGAAGCCTGTGGGCAGTATTGTGTTAAACCCTTGACTGTGCTGAGTGCTGTTGTAGTGACAGACCTTGGGCACACTGAGAGTTGGCTGGTGCTGGCAGAGTGCAAAGGCCTGTTAGAGGCCTCCTGAGTGTTTACGGGTCACTCTGCTCTTAAGAGCTGAGCAGGGCACTTAAAAACTGAGCATTGTGATAATGTGTTGGGGTAACTCCCATCATGTGCTCACGCCTTGTTAAGAGCAGTCAGAATGCAGCACTTCCTGGCACTCATCTGCTTTTATTCTCCTTCTTTAGGACTTGACTGGCATAGAGTCCATGGACCAATGTCGCCACACACTGGAGCAGCACAACTGGAACATAGAGGTACCACTGAAAATGAGACTTGTAGCAGTTTCCAAGTACCTGGATTAAATGCAGCCCTCTGTGGGAGGCGGGGGCCCTACCAGTAAGATTAATCTGTCCCCCCCTGGATTTACCCAAGTAGCTCTTTGGAACTATCTCCACACCTCTGGAGAGCTGGTTTCAGCCAAACACAGCAGAGTCATTATGGCTGTGAACAATCCCTTGCCTGGCCCACGATGTGGCCTCCCGTGGAGCCTGTGTGCTGGCTGCCATGGAGAAGGCTTTCCACATGGAAAAGAGCACTGGTGGTTGCTGTTTGTCAGCAGTTGTGCTTATCCAGTGCCCTGGGGCTGTGGACAAGTAGTACCCACTGTCACTGTCCAAAGTATAAAAACCATAAAATGCTTGAAACCTCCCTTTGCTCTTTCTTGTGTCAAAGGCAGCTGTGCAGGACCGACTGAACGAGCAAGAGGGTGTCCCAAGTGTCTTTAATCCTCCTCCCCTGCGGCCGTTGCAGGTCAATACAGCTGACCACAGGATCTACAGCTACGTTGTCTCAAGGCCACAGCCAAGGGCAAGTTATCTTACAGTGGATTTTGTCCTGCTTCTTGGCTGGCTCTCTATGAATACAGAACTTGCAAGCAGGGAAAGATACTGCTTTCTTTGCATGCTGTTATCTCCTTTCTAAATATTTTATCTTATGAAAACAAAATGTAGAGCTAGTCCTTCAGTTTCTGTTACTGCTGTGGAGATTTTCTCCATCCTGTGATTCACAGTCTGAGGACTTTTTTTTTGTCATAGACTGTCTTGCTTTGTGTAGTAAAGCATTTTGATCAGTAGAATGGGAACAAAGGACTGTCCCCTCCACGTGGCAGTGATAATGTTTTTCTTTCTAGAGCCCTCCTTGAATGTATATTAACTAGAACACAGTATTACTTTCATTAATGTTTTACAAACAAATTTGCATGAGCACCTGTAAGACTTGGTGCTGTTAATCTTTTTGTATAGTTAAGAAAATTAATTCCTTGTTTGTAATTGCAGGGCCTGTTAGGATGGGGTTACTACTTCATAATGCTTCCATTCCGATTTACCTATTACACGTTACTTGATATATTTAGGTAAGTCCTTGTTTGTGCTGACTCACTTATTGACTGCATCAGGGAACACACTAGCTCGGATTTGGCTGGATCTCTGTCACTTAGATCTTTAAGCCTCATGGCAGATTTTCCATTTGTTTCCTTAACTGGCATTATCTCTGCCCTTGTGAAGTTCCTGTGCTGTTTAGTAAGAAATAAATCTTGTTGCAGAGAAAAAGAGCACCTTGCAGCTCTGTTAATGAAGTGTTTAATGGGATCTCTAACTCCACTCAGCTTTACAGTCTGAGTGCCACACAAAGAGGTTGCAAAACAGTGTCCAGCCGTTTGGTATTCTTGGACAAACATCAGAATCATGTCCCATTGGGCTGGGCCACAGGTTAACCTGCCCTAATTCCTGGATTTTATTTGGCAAAACCCAAACTGTAAACACCTCTGCTTTATTCCCTTTGGTGTCTATTACCTCTTCTCCCTTTACTGCCCCAAAGCATTAATTCTCCTTGTCTCCTTTACAGCACTGATAGGAGGAAAAGGGAATTGTAGTGGTGGTAAATAGTCAACAGTCCTGCCATCTGCCCTGGTTTGGCAGTTTCCCTGTTGTATTACTTTTTTCCCCCATTAAAGACATTTCCAAAGTTCAGTGTATCTTCTGTGCATCAGTAGAACTAAACAACACTGATATCTGCCTTGCAGTGAAGCTTTTTCAGCTTCAGAGGAATGACAGTTTCACAGGACTCGTAGTGTAATGTTCTCTTTCTGCAACTCTTTTTACATTGGAATTCTTAGTTCTGGTTTAGGAAAAATGCAGTTTTCAAAGTTATCTGGACAAAACTCTGTGGCTTTTAACAGCCCATCTTTGACTAAATTCTTCAAACCTCCTGCTGTTGGTGTGGCTTATGCCTGATGCTTCAGAGGAAGCGGAAACTGTTTAATCACACAAAACTTGGATCCTTATTGATCCCTGCCATGAGATGAATCCTCATTGGGGTTGGTTCTGTAGCAGTGGTATCAGTTTGGAGCGGATGTCAGTTTAGGTTTAGATTATAAATGTTCAAGGGTCTCAGCTATGACTTTTTTCCTCTTTATGAATCTCAGTGACTATCTGTAGAAAAGAAAACCTGTGCCTCAAGAAGTCAGTGAGCTGAAATTCCAGTGTCCTTTGCTTCCTTCCTAGGTTTGCTCTGCGTTTTATACGCCCTGATCCTCGTAGTCGGGTCACCGACCCAGTGGGTGACATTATTTCGTTTATTCATATGTTTGAGGAAAAATATGGGAGGATACACCCAGTCTTCTACCAGGGGACTTACAGCCAGGTCAGTGTCATGTGTTGGTGCATAGGTGCTGGGAAGTGGTGAATTTGCCACATGGTATCAGGGCCTACATGGCAAAATTGCTTTTCATCTACAAGCCTAGCATTTATCCCCAAACTATCTTAACAGAGTAATGGAGAGCTAGTGAACAAGTGTATTGGGAAACCAGTGTCTGCCAGGCTTGATGGTTTGCCAAGCCTGCAAAGTTGGAAAGCAAAGCTACTCTGGCTGTTCCTCGACCGTCTGTGTGACTCTGTAGCTGACAGCTTTTCTTTGTAATCCTGCCTTTGTTTTTATAAACTGGTGTGCTGTGCCAGAGTCTGTCCTTCTGTTCACCAAATTGGGATTAACTGCCTGGGCTTGTATCACAATGCAACTTCACAACAGTTCGGGGCCTCAAAATTGAGAGGGAGCCCCTAAGAAAGTATGGGAGGTGAGTGTTCCATATATCAAATCTGAGGGGGCTCTCTGTAGAAGAGGGATATCCCCGTGGACACTGCCTCTTGCACAGCTTCTCTCAGCCTGGCCAAGGGAAGGGTCTCCTGCAGAGCATCCATCAGACAGTTGGATCAGCACTGCTTCCCAGGTGCCTGGGGGGAAAGTGTCAGTGCCTGTCTGCTCCACACTGCACAGTGATGGAGCTCACCGCCTCTGCAGCTCTTTTAGGCTCCTCTGTCATTCCTGGAATCCACACTCAAGTAATTGTGCAATGGTTGGGCTACCAAAACTCAGTGCCAGTAAAACAGGGAGTATATTGTGCACTTATCCTGTGGTCTTGTTAAAAATGCTCTTGGGTGGGTGGAATCCAGCACTATAGATGTGGAAAGGGAGGGATTCTTTTCTTTGTTGTCTGGTTTTTGCGGGGCCTGCAGCATTATTTATTACTTGTTTTAATAGAATTTTCATTTGGTGTGATCTGAAGATTGTGTCCTGTGCAGGCTCAAGGGAAAGCTCAGCCTTGGCCACTGTGAGTCCAGGGGGTGAAGGAGGTTCTTCACTGCTGGCTGAGTCTGGTGAGGCAGCTGAGGTGTCAGTCCATGTCATTGCCTACCCAGCTTCACTCTGAGTTCAGTGTTCCCCAAAGCCACATCCTGAGAGGACATGAGAGAACACCACTGTAGCCCTATTAAATAAAGGCTTACTTAGAAGGTCTGACAGGTTCATCCTCCACTGCTGCTTCACTAAAACCATTCTAGTGGCAGAGTAATGACCTGGGTCACACAAGCCTTGTGGGTGCTGCATTCCCCTTGCCCAGGGATCCTGTAACTTTACCTCCTCTGCTCTTATGCCAAGGCCCTGAACGATGCCAAGCGGGAGCTGCGCTTCCTGTTGGTTTATCTTCATGGGGATGACCACCAGGACACAGATGAGTTCTGCCGGTAGGTAGGAGAATTTCCCAAATAGTTGTCTTTGTATCGGAAATGCAGCTTCCCTCACATGGTCTCTTCTCATCCCCCAGCAATACACTGTGTGCACCTGAGGTCATCACCCTCATCAACACTAGAATGCTCTTCTGGGCTTGCTCAACCAATAAACCAGAGGGATACAGAGGTGAGTGTCTCCCTCCTGGGCTTTACCTGTCCCCTTCTGTCTCTGGAACAAGCCAGATGCTCTTTGACAAATTTACACGTGTGAAATACACTCTTGTCTACTTGAACAAAATACAACAGATTTCAGGACTGCATGGGGAAATACATGTGTTGATTTCCTGGGATATCTTGAAAGGTTTGGATGCCAAGGAAATGCATTCTGATCTTCACCTCCACCCTTCTGTGTGTTTCTGGGCAGTTGTAGTTCTGTGCTCATTGCTGTGGGCATTTAGGCTGCTTTCAGTGCCTTGTCAATGGGAGTTGGTGGGTGTGTGCTGGGGATAAACTGAGTGGAGAAACAAGTATCCAACTACACCTGTCCTTAAGCACTGTGACGCCTGAGGCCAGGGAGGACTTGTTAGGTGCATTCTTTCCCTTTCTGAGACAGTCACCTTAATCCACAGCCAATCTCTGTGTCTCCTCAAAAGCCTACAGTGCTTGAGAGCTGTTGATACCTGTCCAGACAGTATTTTGGTAAGGATTTGCTGCAAGTGGAGCCTTTTCCCAGTGTTTTGTTTATGGCTCCTGTGTTGCTTCCACCATTTCTGTTTCATGATCAGGAAAATGCTACTTTTGGGTCACTCTTGACTCCATAGTTCTGCTCCCAGTTATCAACAACTTGAGAGAAGAGCTCTCTGAGGAGACAGTCTTTGACTTATTCCTGTTTCATTGCTGCAATGCTTTGGAGTCACAGCCTGGGAAGCAGAGCTGGAAGGGATCGTGACCTTCCATTTAATCCCTGAGGTGCTCTGATTTTGTTTGGGGGCTCCATTGGTAACAAAGGCTCCAAGTTGCATGATGTACCATGTGTGTTTTATGGAGAGGATCAACAGCCATATATGAACAGTAACTTAAGCACATCATCTGTTCTGCTCCCTGCTTCAGACAGAGCCTGCCTCCAGCAAAGCCAGCCTAAATTTGTTCAGAAATGCTCAATGTGGACAAACTGCCATCTCCCCCATGGCAGTTTCTTCCAGAGCTCAACCATCCCTAATCACCTGAGCAAATGTTTACATGTACTTGTCCTGTGTTTCTCTTCCTGCAGTTTAAACCCATGGCTTTGTCCCATTTTCAATGGACATTCAGAGCCATTTACTTCCTTCCTGCTTGAGTTAAAAGAGCCTTTTTTGAAAGCTTGGGATTTTTCCCATCAGTATTTGTGCTCCCAAAGCCATTTCCTCCCTTTGCCAACTTACAGGGTTTAATTTTCAAAATGGAGCCTGAGGCCTTTTTTGCCTTGGAAGAGAGAATGTCTGGGGAAGGTGCTTTCCTTGGCCCCCCGTGATGGGAAGCGTTTGTGCTGTGGCCCTCGTGCCTGGGGTGGTGACGCTTGTGCTGTTGGCAGTGTCGCAGGCCCTGCGGGAGAACACGTACCCGTTCCTGGCCGTGATCATGCTCAAGGACCGCAGGATGACCGTGGTTGGGCGGCTGGAAGGCCTCATCCAGGCTGATGACCTCATCAATCAGCTGATGTTCATCATGGATGCCAACCAGACATACCTGGTGTCCGAGCGCCTGGAAAGGTAGGGCGGGACCAGAGCTCCAGCAACACAAACCGTGTTGAGGCGGGCTCTGCTCTGTCCCTTCCTCCCTCCAGACACCGCGTGTAGGCACATAGCTCAGCACCTCCCGTTCTGTAACACAGCCCATGGCCTCTCCTCTTGCCAGGGGGATCATCAGCCCATAAATTCAGGCCATCTTATAGCCAGGGAGCCAGATGTGTTGCACACACAATCCCACCACTGAAAGGTGGATGTGAGTACTCTGTTCTCTGCAATTGGAGCGCACCTTTGGCATGCTGGAGCTTTGCAGGGAAAGCTTGGACAATAGCCAGTAGGATCCAAGTGGGAGCAAGGGCATTGCGGGCAGGAGAGCTGGTGTCCACAGCTCTGTGCTGCTCCCTGGGCTGGCTGTGCTGAGCTCTGGCTGCTTTTCTGGTGGGGCCTGACAAGTCCCTGCTGACTCTTAGGGATGTACAGGTTGCATCCAAAACAGGATCCTACATTTGACTTTGTCTGTCCCTCCTCTGCCCCACACTCTGTGTGAGGATCCAGTAACACGTTCCAGTTTATAAAATGTGCAAGGAATTACCTGAAGGAGATGAAACCAGGAAGAGTCTCAAATATGAGGCAGGAATCCTGGGCATTGTTCTTGTGCTGTCTGTCAGCTCTGCCAAGCTGCAGAGGTTCAGAAGCCTTTTAAATTCAGTTCTACCCACCCCTGGGAAGCAGTTTGATTGTGAGGGACTGTGGGGACCTGGCTTGGCCTTTTGGGAGCTTGTGGTACCCCAAGGCATTACCTGCTGTGTGCTTCTCTGAGTTGGAGGCTGTCCCTGCACCCTTGGGTCTGCCCTCAGCCTGCCATCCCCTCACTTCAGGGCCTGTTAGCCCTGACCACTTCCCACTCATGTTTGCAGGGAAGAGAGGAACCAAACCCAAGTCCTGAGGCAGCAGCAGGACGAGGCATATCTGGCATCCTTGCGTGCAGACCAGGAAAAGGAGCGCAAGAAGAAGGAGGAAAGGGAGAGGAAGAAGAAGAAGGAGGAGGAAGTGCAGCAGCAAAAACTGGCAGAGGAGAGGCGGCGGCAGGTGAGAGCAGAGGGACTGCAGGAGGGGCTGCAGTGTCCTGTGGGATGCCTGGCCTGCAGCAGGAATTGCTTGTCTTGCTTGGGGCTTGAGCATTCCTGAGGCTCCTGGAGCAGCAGTGTTGCAGGGGACAGGCACAAAGGTCAGTTGAGTGCACACCTTTGCTCCTGCTCCCTCCTTGCCTTGCAGACACTGCAGGAGGAGAAGGAGCGGAAGTCGGAATGCCTTCCTCCAGAACCGCATCCCGACGACCCGGAGAGCGTCAAGATCATTTTCAAGCTGCCTAATGATTCCAGAGTGGAGCGGCGATTCCACTTCACACAGTCATTGACGGTGAGCTTGGGGCAGAGCTGAGGGGCCTTCCAGAGCAAGGGGCTGAAGAGACTTGCAGGTGGCTTTTTTCCCTTGGGCTTGCCAAATGGTGACCTTTGCTGAGAGCCTTGGCAGGCAGAGCTCCTTGGTAAAGAGAGTGCTGTAGGGCCTGGTTCCACCAGCTTGGAAGAGGAGAAAAAGTGGAAGAAGCTTTTTTGGCCTTCTGAAAATCTGGAAGGTGTCTCTGCCCATGACAGGGCAGCATGGGACGAGATTATCTTTAAGGTCCCTTCCAACCCTTAACATTCTGCAATTCCACTGCTTCCTCTGAAATAAAGGTGTAGGAAGAGTCAGAAACAGTGTCTGGTGTCCCCAGTGCTCTGTGCCAAGCCCAGTTTCATGTGTGCCAAGGAAATGGCTGTCTCAGGTGTGCAGCACAGTGATGGTGCAAATTTGGGAACCTTTCCCCACGAGATGCCAGGGATTGCCAGGGATTCACTCTGGCTGTGCCAGTGCTCCCCCAGCTGGCAGTAATTTCTGTGTTGCTTTCCTAGGTGATCCACGACTTCCTGTTCTCCTTGAAAGAAAGCCCTGAGAAGTTCCAGATTGAGGCCAACTTCCCTCGCCGTGTCCTGCCCTGCCTCCCTACAGAGGAGTGGCCCAACCCCCCCACGCTGCAGGAGGCGGGACTCAGCCACACGGAAGTCCTCTTTGTGCAGGACCTCACGGACGATTGACACTTCTTTTTGGTTTTGTTTTTGTTTGTTTTGTTGTTCCGTTTGGTTTTTTTGTTTTGTTTTGTTTTTTTTGTTTTTTTTTTCCAGAAGACACAAAACTGAAAGAGAAATTCATATTATTATTATAATACAATATTTTTTTTAAAAGACTGCGTACAAACGAGGGATCAGAGACCACATGGCCTGTGCCAGCTGTGCTGCGTGCGTGCGCTGGCGAGAGGACGCGTGCGCACGGCCATCCCCTGCACGGGGGGCACACGGGGGGAGCTGGTGTTGCCCCTCCGCCCTCCCTGGGGAGGAACAGGAATGGCAGCTCTTGGTAATTATTGCTTTTATTGATGACAATAATAATAAAACCCCGGCAACCCAACATCTTGTGAAGATTTGATACTCTGCTGCTCCTGAGAGACACAAGACCGAGCACCGGAACGTGCTGGGATTGGGGTGGGGGGAAAGGGCTGGACAGACTCTCTTCAGCTTCCCTCTGTGTATAAATACTGTTCTTTTAATATTTCTCTTGCTTTGTAATGACCAAAGGAGATTGGGGTTGACTATAGTATTAACTTTTTGATAAAGAGCTGGTTCGATTCTTACCCATGTGGGGCCTTGCCCAGGGTTCTTAGCCTGCGTAGTGTAATAAACTCTGCCTCTAGCATGTCTGTGCTGATGCTTTCTGCCCCTGCCCCAGGGAGGGGCTCGGCTGCTGTGGGCCTTGTGGCTCCCAGCAGTGTGGGTGCACTCATCTTCTGCTGTCACACTGGTGATTTTGTGCCAACGGAGCTGTTGGATGAGAGGAGAAGGTGCCCGGCACGGGGAATGGCAGGGCTGGGGTGCTGCTGTGCCACCTCCTGTGGCATCAGCTCTGGATCAGGGAGGGAGGGAGCTGATGAGGCTGGGTCAGCCCTGGTGGAGCAGGTGCGAGGTGGAAAAGGTGTGTGAGGTAAGGCTGGTCCCTGCCACAGGCTCGGCCAGGGCTGTGGAGCTGTGCCATCAGCGGCCCAAAGGCAGTGGTGGGAGCCTGTTCCTGCAGTGACCTGTTCTGGAGCCAAGAATGGTTAAGGGTGCAAGGAATCTCAAAGCACATCTCGCTGCACCCCCTGCCACAGGCAGGAACACAGGGCAAGCCTCTTCCCTGGCCCAGCCCGGGAATGCTGGAGGGTTGGGATGGAGGAGAAGTGGAAGATGTCCCACTGCTGTGGCTGGAGCCACCCAGGGAGCTCTGCTGTCCCGGGATAGCAGCCAGGACTTTCCCATCTCTCTGCAAGCAGTGAGGGGTCGCCAGGTGAGAAGGAGGGGGTGTGTGGTGCTGCTCAAAACCAGACCCTGCTGGGGCAAAGCATCCAACCAGTCCCTGCTGCCAACCAGTCCCAGGCTCTCCTGGGCTCTCCAAGCCTCTCTCCAGGGCCCTTCCAGCTGTGGCAGCTCCTTCCCATCCCTGGCTCCCACTCTTCCCCTCAAGCCCCCATGGAGACAAGAGCTGGGCCCAGCATGTTGGTATACATCATACATTTATTAGTGAATATCCCTCTCAAAATCAGCCACAACATTAAAAAAAATAATGATTGCACTACTTGGTCAAGCAGAACTAGCAACTTTCATTTTAAAAAAAGTACAAATCTGTTAAAAATTTCAATCAGTATAATACACATATATATAATACAACATACTAGTTATGTTAAATGCTACAAAACCAATATGATTCCAATGGAATGGAAAAAAACAAACACTTTTAGAGCTTTAAGAACCTTTTTTTTCTATATATTAGCCTTTTTTCAAATACATACATGGGAAAAATGAGGTAACTGTAAAATGTGCAAGTAACAGAGCAAAAAAAATTATATATATATATTTATATATATATATATATATATAAAAACTTTCTAACACAGAACACACGTCCTAGCACCTTCCGGGGAGCCGCGGGGAACGCGGGGGTCCCACCGGAGGGCCCGGGGACTGGTATAATAGAACAGTAAACAGTCCACTATCCCACCACAGGAAGTCATTGGTAAACAGTGGTATCTACAGCGCAGTCAGCAATCACAAACACCCTAAATAATTGTTTTTTAGTATTTTTTTTTGTCATTTTTTCTTTTTGTTATTTTTTTTTTAAATGATACTTTTAGCTGCTCATTGGAATAAATTCTGCAGCACACGAGCTGTGAGCTTTCGAGTCGCCGTCAAAGGACCGTAAGGCTTTCCTGGCTCCCTGGGCACCGCGAGGGCGGGAGGGGAGGAGGGGGCGTCTCCGGGGGCGCGAAGCCGGGGACTCCTTTGGTTATCTGTCACTGAGTGAGGGACGGGGAAGGGGCCGGGGTCCTGCCCAAGGGGCACCGAGCCCAGCGGTGCCGGCACCCGTGCCACGGCGGAGCGGGTGGCGCCGGGCCGGGGCCCTTGGCCTCGATGCTCCGCACAGAGGGCGGCCGCCGGAGAGGTGGGAAAGGGCGGCGAGGGGGAGCTGGCCCGTAGCCCCCCACCGCTCGCCACCCCCCGCGCCCGACAGGGCAGCGTCCGGGGCCGGCCCACCGGTGGCTGGCACTGCCCTCTGGCCCTCAGCGTGGGGAACACCACCGTGCCCACCCGTGTGCCAGGCGCGGCCCCTCACCTCGCACCCGGCCGAGCCACCGCCGCCCCCGCCCACCCCGGTCCCTTGCACACGCCGCCGCCGCGGGCGCGGACCCCGCGGGACGGCCCTGAAAGTCTCACGGTCCTGCTGTGGCGTTGCGGACATGTGCAGTACAGTGCATGGCAGTATCAGCTGAGCACAAAAACCCCTCTCCCCACCCCCCTCACCCCACAGCCGGCTAGACGTAGCCAAGACCACGTTCCAAGCTGGTCAGACATGCATGCATATTTGTGAACATTTACATAGGGCTGGCGTCCGCTCGGAAGCTCCCAGGCGTCAGCGACGCGCCGGGAGGGGAGGGCGGTGCTCTCACCACCACCCCTGCCACCGCCTCCCGTCACCCTCCTCGCTAATTAATCATGCAAAACAACGGCCACGCGGGATTGATGGAGCCGGGCGGCGGCGTGGCGGCTTCTCCCCCAGCGCCTGCAAGGGCAGGGGGAAAACGGTGGCAAGGGGACTGCTCACAGCTTCCCCCGCACCAGCCGGGCCAAGGCCAGGGTAGCACTGAAAATACTCCACGAAGTTAGGAATAAAACCCCCCCGCTCTGGGGGCCGCAGCCCAGCCGGCCCCTCGCTGCCCACGGCGGGGAAACCGCGCCGTCCAGCCAGCAGGACGGGGCACGGGGCTACCTTGATTTACATCGTCGGGACAGAGATACGAGCAGGAGCCGGGGGCCGGGCAGCACACCGGGGACACCACATGCCCAAAGCCCTAGGGATGGGGTTGGTATCCCCTCCTCAAGCTTGGCTGCCTTGTGGGATGCCACATGGCCTGGCCCCGGGAGCTGCACTGGCCAGGCACAGGGGAATGAACAGGGAGAGGGGGCCAGGGCTGTGCCAGTACCATCCTCCCACTGGTGAAAGACCCAAGCAGCCATAGCCCTCTGGGGCTCCCCAGGGCAGCCGAGGCAGGAGAGAGGTCGTGCCAGGCTGTGCACAGGAGCGGGGACAGAGGCATTCCTGTGTTCCTGCCTTTCTGCCCCAGCCACGCCGCGGGGTTGCTGGTGTCCCACCTTGGCCACACTCCGCCAGCCACCTCCTCCGGCTGTCCCCGGGGCCGGGGTGCTGCCGGCATCAAACCCGCAGCGCTCCCTCCTCTCTCCTCCCCACGTCCTCCGAGAGCAACGCTGAAGGGAGGAGCCGCCTGCGTGCCCCTAGGGCAAACGGCCAAGGAACCAAAAACATGACGGAAATGAAAAGGAAACAAGGGGGGAAAAAAACTATCGTAAAAAAAAAAAAAAAAAATAGTGACAAAGGGAAAAACCACTAATTCCCTAGGAGAGTACAAAGACCTGGAAAGTGATGGAGCAACAACAGCGTCTTTGGAGCGCAGAGGGCACGGCCACGCACCTCCCGCCTCCAGCACAACACGATTCGGGGCCCTGGGAGCGCAGCGGGCAGGCGTCCGGCTGAGTCCGTGCCCCGGCGGGGAGGAGGAGGGCTGGCCGGGAGCCCAGACTGCTCAATGCTCACCACATCCGAGGAGAGGCTTTGGGGAGGGGGGGTAAGCGCAGGGTCAGGCCCTAGCAGCGGGCAGCAGCCCCCGCCCCAGCCCGGCGTCCTTGTCCTCTAGCGAATTGTGCGGCACAGCGCCCGCCAGCCTCAGTCCGCCTCCCGCTGCACCTCCGACGCGTCCGCCCGGCAGATCGGGCACGTGCGGTTTGCCTGTGGGCAACCAGAGACAGGGGCAAGTGAGCAGCACTGCTGGCAAGGCCGGAACCTCATCCCAGGAGTGGCTTATCCAGACCTGCACAGTGCTCGGCCCCAGCTCCCAGTGCATGCAGGACACAGGCCACCCAAAAGGCAGCACCCCATACCCACAGCACCCCAAGAAGCCACCCCGCTCCCCACAGCGGGCACAAGGCAGTACCTTTAACCATTTGTCGACACACTTGGCGTGGAACTCGTGGTTGCAGGGCAGGACGCGGAGAAGCTGCCGGGCCTCAAAGTCACTGAAGCACACGACGCACCTGGGGGAAGTGGCCATCAGTATAGCCCCACTGCCAGCCATGGGCTCCCATCCCTGCCAGGCCCCCCATGTACACCCCAAGCTCACTCACAGGGTCTGCTCAGACTGGTGGCTCTCGGGGTTGAAGCGGTATGACGGGAGGTGCTCGATGTCTGCTTTGGTGAGTCCCCGTGGCTTGGCCTCCCCCAGCCGCTCGGCCAAGTTCAGCAGTGCCTGGAGGGAGATGCAGAGGCCGGCCCAGCTCGTCTCCTGTTCTGGCACAGCACGCCTCCAGGCTCCCATCTCCCAGCAGAGCAATCAGCAAACCCCCCCAGCTCTCCCATCCCATCACTGCGAGGAAGCCAAGCACACGCACCTCATAATTCTCCATCTCCACATCATCCACGTCCAGGTCTAAGCTGATCGTGGGGCCCACGGCCGTTGGCGACACAGGAAGCATAGAACTGGGGGGGCGGGGGGGAAGGACAGGGCAGTCAGCATGGGGCCACAAACCCCAACGTCCACCCTGGCACCCCCCAGGGGACAGAGCCTCCTGTGCCAACACAGTGCCACTGTGGCCTCCATCCACAGTGCCACCCCTGCCCTACGCATCCTATAATATCCCCAGCAGTACTCACAGGAAATAGGGCAGGAAGCTCGGATAGTAGGGAGGAGGCGGCGGAGGGGGCGGCGGTGGGGGCAGCGCCTGTTGCAGCCGGTACCGCTGGGTGTTCAGCCGCCGGGGCATCATATGGGGGTATGGCTGCAGGGAGAGATGGGGCACTCAGAGTCATGCCAGCCCCATAGCGTTCCCAACTCCTCCCTAGGATGGGCACTCACCACGCCAAATGGCAGTTCTTGGTGCAGCGGGTCGTGGGGGAGGTAATGCAGCGGCATGGAGGGCGACAGCGTGGGAGCGTGGTGAGACGGAGGGTAAGTGAAGCCTGCGATGGGGTGCTGCTCCCCTCGCAGGTCCACGTCATTGTCTATCCTCTGCAGAGGCTGTGGGGAAAGAGTTAGGCTGGGAGGAGCATCCCAAATTACACCTCCCCGATGCTGTGAAGACAGAGACACCCTGGGCACCCTGTCCACCACCCCTAGCTTAGACCCACAGGGGTTGCAGAAGGACAAGACCCCAAAATGGTGGGTGCATCACATCCCCAGCCTGTCCCTCCACCCCAACTCACCATACGTGGATGCTGGGCTTGGAGAGGTACGAACTGCCCCAGGGGGGCCATGTGGGGCGGCTGGTGGGGGGGCACTGGTGGCGGGGGTGGGTGCAGGATGTAATGGTCGCTGGAGATGATGGGGGGGAATGTCTGATAGGAGACGGGAAGTTGTTGCATGGCACATGCCTGAATCAGCTGTGGGGAGAGACAGAGAGAAAAACAAGGGTCAGACATCCCTACCCCTTCCCCAGAGCCTCCAAAGGACCCTGTGCTCCCAGAAACTTGCCCTACAGTGGGCTTGGGTACCCACACGACCTCTAGGCACTCACGGCCCAGGCTGTCCCCAGGCGTCCCCCGCTGTGACTCACCGGGGGTGGGAGGCAGCAGAGCGGGTAGTGCTGTCCGCTGAACATCACTGAGCATGCTGGGAGCTGCTGGGTGCTGCACCCAGGGATGTGCTGGCCAGCGTGGATGGGGAAGCCTTGCGTCGTTACGGTGGTAACCGTGTAGGAGAGAGGGACAGGTCCCTGGTGCACCTAAGGACAAGGGCACAATCAGGGTACAGCCCTGTCTGATCTGTCCCTGTCCTGACAGGGTCATAGCAGGACCCTGGGCACTCAGCACTGGGACAAAACACCTGGCGTGCCCACCCCACTGGTGTGGCCAGAGGAACAGGCTGAGTGAGGGCTCAGCTTGAGGGAGTTTTGAGCCCTTCTTTCCTCCACACAGACTGGTGACAGCCTCCAACACATCACCATTACCATGGATTATGATGACAGTTGTCACATGAACAACCCTACAAGGGCACTGTTCCCAATCCCTGGCAGCAGGGTCCACCCTGGACATACCCAGAAGGCAGAGGGACCCCAAGATTTAAATCTTGGAGAACCAGAGCACCAGCAGGCTCAGGGCTGGGTGATCCCAGCAGCAAGTGGCCAGAGGGGACCCAAGGACATGTCACCACTCCAGACAACAGCCCAAGGAACACCAGAGGATCACACTTAGGAGTGGGGCTGGGGGCTGCAGCACCTACCTGGTCATGCAGATCCACCATGAATGGGTTCTGGTGGGGTGGGTGAGCGGCTGGGTGAAGCATTCGTGGCGGCGTGCTGGGAAGAGCGTAGGCGCGGGGCTCATCTACAGGGATGTGCGGCTGCTGGGGGAAGGCAGGGTGCACCTGGGGCTCATCCTGGCCCAGCAGGGTTGCCAGAGGTCGATCGCGTCGTCCCCACTGACGCCTGGCAGAGGGGCTGCGGGGCCACCGCAGGAGAGAAACAGAGCAGGAGTGACCCCCCAGGCCAGAGGGGCACCACAGCCCCAGGCAGGATGGCTACAGGAGGATCAGCGTCAGCCCAGTGCCCAGGGTGAGATGCTCAGGGCATTGTGCCAGGCCACATCAGGCTGGACAGCTCCAGAACCACCTTCTCTGCTCACCCTGCAAGTGCCCTCTCCGTGTCCACAGCATAAAAAGGACCCCTGCTCCCCAGGGACCCCTCATTTGGGGCAGGTGGATGTGCTTCCCTGTTAATGTCCCCCCAAGCCCCACCGGGAGCCGGTGCCTTGCCCCAGCAGGACCAGAGAACCGGCCCCACAACCCCATGTGCCACAGGGGACAGGGCTCCACGCCACCCTGCAGCCCGTACCTTCGCCGGAGGTGGTCGGGGCTGCTGCAGGGTCCCCCCGAGAAACGGCGCTGGGCAAAAGGGGCAGAGGGCGGCCGCCTATTCACTGCCAGTTCCCATGGTCGCATTGGTGACGTCGGGAGGCGGATGGGCACACGGGACCTCAGGCTCCAGGCAGGGCAAGACACCAGCACCTTCAATTCTGCAAGAGGGACAGCGGGTCATGGCACTGTCCCGCCACCGCTCAGGCTGCTGCTCCATCCTCACAAGGATGGTGGTGCTGACAGCTGCACCCACCCCATCTCCTGGGGCTGGATATGGCCCTGAGAGGGGCTAGGAAGAGCCTGTTCCCAACTCCCTTGTTACTGTTCCTCCCCTTCAGGGCCAGAGTCACCTCCCATACACAACACAAAGAGAGAGACAGACTTATTTTTGCACTTATTTTTGGCATAGAGGAAAGAAAGTGATGGAGAACCCTGTGGCTGTGGCAGCATCACCAGCCAACAGGGAGACTAAGCCTGGCATGGGGAGTTTCCAGCAGGTCCTTGGATGCTGCTCTGGGGGGTGCTCTTTGTTGCTGAGCTCCTGCACATCCTACCCTGGAGTGACACTGCTACCCCAGTGACCAGCACAGGGACTGGTGGTGGCAGCAGGGCCCATGGCCCTTCCCTGTCAACTCCCTGCTGCAAACAGGGCACAGCCACACGTCCCCACGGAGCAGGGGACAAGCATGGGCTGTGCTGAAGCCAGGGAGGCAGCTCTGCTCTCCCAGATGCTCCGCAAGGCAGTGGGACAGTGGGAACACTGCCCTGGCCCTGCCCCATCTCCCCTCCTGCACCCAGCCTGACTGGTGTTCCTGCACCCCGGCCCTCTCCCAGGACACAGCTCGACCCCTCAGCCCCAGTGAAGCCTGGCACTGCACAGAGGAGACATCTGCATTTGGGGCTGGGCTTCCCCAGGCTCTGCTTTCCCAGGTCTCCCAAAACAGCCTTCCTTGCCTTCACATGTATCCAAGATCCTCCCTGGGTGCCGTTCCATTGCCCAGCTTCCTTCAGCTTCCACAGCATCAGGCCAGCACACGGCAGCAGCCATGGCCTTGGCACCACAGCCCACACTCCCCTAAATCCAGCTCACTGCAGGCTGGTGAGGTCCCCCCCAAAGCTTCTTCAGCTCCACCTCCTCCTCAGTGCCCATGGCAAAGACACACCCGGGACAGCAAAGACACTCCGGGGACCCGGAGCCTGGGGAATGCTGCTCAGCTGGGGATCTCAGCCCAGCAGAGAGAAGCTGCAATGTCACTTTTGGGTGATGGGTATCAACAACCACTGGCTCAAGTCCTGTGCCACACACAAGTCCCTTCTTAACCTCACCTTCATCGCCACACTACTGTGGAAGCTGAAAGCAAATTCCTCTCTTTGTTTTGGTAGGAAAAAAGAAGAAGAAAAGCAAAAGCCACAGGCTGAGCCCTCCCAGAACCTGTCTGTGACTATCACCAGGGAAGGGGGTGTGCCTGACCAGGAGGTCCCTTCCACAGGGAGTTTATTCTGCCCAGCTTGAAGCTCTGCCCGGCTGCAATATGCCCCTGAGTGGGCTGGAAGCCAGAATGCAGCAACAACCCAGGTTCAGCCCTACTCTGAAGAAGCCTCCCTGAGGTGTTACTGCTTCCAGTTCCACATCCTCACTCTCAGAGCACACGTGGTGCCAAGGCCCTGTGTGATCCAGTGGGCACCTTCCAGACCAGGCACCACAGCAATGGGCTTGGGGATGGGCAGCACATCCACAGAGGAACACTGAAGCCATACATGGGCTCGCCTGTTCCTGGGACCTCCAGAGCGGAGGGCTGCCTGCTCTCCTGGAACCCCAGGACGGCACGCCGAGGCAGGATGGCACCCCCTGACTCGCGGGACAGCGCTGGCCCGGCCCTCGTCCTGCCACAAGCAGCACCCGTAAGGTACCCACCCTCCTGTCCCAAGCGGGCACACCCGGCTCCCTCCGCACCCGTGGCTGGAAGCCAGCGGCCACGCCGAGCAGGGTGACCGTGACCCCGCGGAGGCCCCCGCAGCTCCGAAACGAAGGGGATCGCGGTCCCGCAGCCCCTCGGAGGGGCGGGGGGAGGCGGCTCCAGAGCCCCGCCGAGAACAAAGTTAGCAGCGCGCCAGCGCTCACGCCCGGTGCCATCTGCTCGGGCAGAGCCGGGCTCCGGGGCTGCCGGGGAAGCCGCCCGCCCTGGGGGTCCTGCCACCCCGCTGCCACCCACCGCCGGCTACGTCCCGGTACCCCGAGCTGTCCCGTAGCCCCTTCCCCGCCGTTCCCAGGCGGGCGCCGCCAGCTCTCCCGGGAGCGGGGTCACCGCTCCCCCGCCGCACCGGCAGCCCCTTCGGAAGACCGACCCCGACTCCCAACCCCACCCCCAGACCCGACCCGACCCCGACCCTCGGTGTCCGGGACGGCGGCGCACGGCGGGGCGAACAGCGCATCCCGGAGCGCACCGACGGAGCGCCCCACCGTGCAGCACCCCGGGGAGGCACCGCGGCCACCGGCAGCCGGGAGCGCACCCTAGCCCGCGCCCCCCGCCGCGGAGCCCTGCCGGTGCGGATCTGTGGCTTTAAGAGCGGCCGCTCCGGGGCCATGTGCTCGGCGCCAAACAAAAGCAATAACAAAGGCGGCCGCCGGACCCCGCCGCCGCCGCCCGGGGCAGGTGCCGTCGGGGGTCCGGGGGCGGCCCCCGCCCCCGCCCCGCTCCCGCCCCCCCC